TACAGAGTCTCTTCGTAAAATATGAAAACCATACATTAAATACTTCATTTATATATCTTCCATCAGTTGTCTCTTACATACTTCATCGTCCCTTCATTCCAGTTGTTATAACGATTACTCTCTGCCTATATTCCTGTTCTCGTCAATTCGATCTTCTCAACCTTCTTATGCCAGACATTCCACTTTTGATTGGTGTTATATACTACTTATATCTGTCAACATAAGTAACATACACCACAATACAACTTCTTACTAGAATTTTCAACAATTCACTGAGAAGTTACTCACTAGAAAATATGCAAATATTAACTGATGTAGAAGTGGATTAAAAGAAAACTGAGGGCGGAAAAACCAAATCGTGACATCGATTCATGAAGTCATTAACATTAAATTAAGTCATATTGATAAGTTCACACTCTGTAGTTGAGATTTGTGCAATTATTGTGAACAACAATTAAATATTTTGTGTAATATGGCTTAGAATCAGTTACATTGGCTCAGTTATATTCACTTTGTGTTAAAATACTCTAATTTTTTTTATCCCACAAATTTATACTTTCTCAAATCATGTTTTTTTATGCCTAATATCTTCTAATACCACTGATACTGATTGTTACTATTTCTATTATTCTGATATTTATTTTGACACTTTACTAACTGACACAATAAATTTGTTATGATTTGTCTAATCACAAATATTTTCAAATTAAACTAGTCTCTATAAATTATTTGTCTAATCAATTATAGTATAGTTGTTTATATTCTCATAAACATATTCCATTGTTTTCTTCTATATGTTACGCTTCTATAATCCTTGCCAAATCACACCTATTTACAATTGTATACTTTAATACATAGTTTAATATTCATAGTATTATCTTTCTATGTGTATACATGTCAAATTTTAACTTAGAAATTGTTAAATTTATTGAAAATGATGACATTATTTTAAGAATATAGAAATAAATTTACTCAGTCATAAGTGTATATAAATTATCATTTATTTATGTTAATAAAATGAATAAATAATATTTCAGTTATTATTATTTTCTTATGTATTAGACAATAAGTGATTTAGTTGTCAGTTCTGTACTACAATTAATAATCATGAAGAAAATTAGCATTGAATATTTTATAGTTATCAGTGAAATAATTACTGATACCGATGTAGATCATGTAATGAAGCATAACATCAATTTTTGTTGGAGAAATTGAATACAACAGTTTTTATTGACATTAAATGATAAGATGTAAATTCTATATAGCAATATACTGGTAATGTGGTTTCTAATCACTGTATGCCCAATTCCGTCATAAACTATTATTCATTTGCTTGAAACAAAAGTTACTAGGTAATATTATCCAAAGTTTCATTTTTTTTTCATCTCAAACTCTATAATTTTCTCTCGTCCTGATGCTTTGAAATGTAACTGAGGAAAGTAATGTTTAGCCCTTTTGTGATGTTGAATAGTTTGATTTAAGAGGTAGTTTTTATCAAAACTAATGTTAGGTTGAAAACTAAGACACATTAGACATCTACTCAAAAGTGTGCACTCATAATCTCACCAAAGTTTGGATTTAATATTCTCAGTTCTCGTAGCAAACACGTTGCATTTAGTTTCTTGAGTCGGATTCCATTGCCCACATTATCTATTTTATTAATTTTGCTGAACAAAGAGATAGTCATTCAATGTTCTTAGATCAGAATTTATTGAGTTTGATCCTCGGTAGGGTTCGCAGTGCACACTTCTAAGGAGTTCAAGAATAGAATATCTAATGCTCTATGGTCGTCAGTCGTTGTCCGCTAAATGTATTATTCTACTTGTTTTTAATGCTTTTTTAGTCAATAGGTATATGTATATATATTGTCGCACACGTATGCTATCTCCAGCTTAATTCTAGACGAGCTGTATTCATCTCAGTCATACTATTCACACTAACTATCTACTGATTGTTTACATATGAATGAGACACTTTTTTTCTACCAGGAGTTTCTGACAAGATGGTATGACTGTATTTTTCTGGAATTATGAGGATTCTGTCATATTACCTACGTGTTTAATTGAACAGGATCATTTATCACTTGAAATTCCTTGGATTGTCATTCTAGACGAAACGGCCGTCGAGTGCTTCAAAGTTTTCAGTGATGGTTTAACATTGATCAGTTCTTGATCTCAATTTTTAAAAATGTTTCTACTGTTGATGACATCAGTGTACTTTTCACCACTTTTCTTTTTTTCCCAACAAACTATTCCTTTACTCTAGTCAATGAAAAGAAAATAATCCTTTGTTCAAAATTATTTTTATAGATTTCTCTCAGGGTTTTACATTATCTCATTCTTGTATTACATTATATATACTTAAGAGAAGTTGATGATCATGTTTATTTTGATCTTATTAAAATGAAAACATATAAGATCATTATAGGAAAGACTCAACTTCTATCATATATTCACTTGAGAAAATGAATCTCATTTAAGTCATTTTATAGAATTTAATGATATAATTTATTTGAATAATTAATATCAATCTAATTTTCATTCAGTTTGTTTCTTAACTTCCTCCCCCTTCCCGCGAAAAACTCAAGTAATGTAAAATTTTGTCATAAGTATTTTTTTGATCTAACTTGCGCTCTTCATAGTTTCACACTGAAACGAAATAATTATTCATTTACACATTAGTGAAAAACTAAACACAATTGAAAATGAATGATGTGTGTGAAATAGTATAGTTTGTAAATATCATAATCAATGTTTGATTTAATAAATTCAAATAAATTGAACATTGAATAGATTGTTAATAATAGAAATAATGATGCAGTTGGATAATCCTAATGAGTAGAAAATTGAATTTCTGACATTTCTCGACCTAGTATAAGTTTCATCATCAGAGAATAACTAACCAAATTAAAGTAACACAAATTTTAATAGTACAATGTAAACAAAGCAGAACATTTTTAGTCTAATCAGTAATTGAAGAGTATTATTAATAAATATGGTCATCTACACGATTACACATTTCATCTAAATTTTTACTTTTTAGGAAAGTTTGATTATGAAATCCAGTACGACAATTTTTTCCTATTTGGAATATGTCATATGAGTGTGCCTGGATTTTGTTGTCCATGTTTTCATCGAGATTTTAATCCTATACCTATTGCTTCGAACACCAATACACTATTCGCTAAACTACTGAGTCCAGATAGCTAGTAGTTTATTTAGTGGCTATAAAGTTATTTTTAGGAGTTTCTGTCTTCCTTTTGATGATGTTTAAGACTACAATTTATCAGTCTTTGTTGTTATATTTTCATCCTGGTTGGATTATCTTGACATTTTCATTTAATCAATAGCTTGTTGGGATAACTCATTAGTGTTTGAAGCGACAAACGCTATGTTTCTTATCTCATTATAAGGATTAACACTGGAGTGCAAGTAGCTAATGTAGCACATTGTTTAAATTGGCAGTTAGTTATTTCGTCAATTCATTCTACAGTATAATTTTGTTACCGTAAATTTTATAGTTCTAGCATGAATCACTTTGCAATGTATGGAGAATAAATGTAGAAACAGGATATAATAAGACTTTTTTCCGCTATTTCCTTACATAAATGTAAAGTTATAAAAGTGACTATTGTCATTAGATATATGTAATCTATTCATAATCAGTACAAACGCCTAATTTATATAAATCGGTAAATAAGTTGGTGATTATGATGGAAAAATCAACGTAGATCATCATTATCTTCACAAGGACCACACTGATTCAATAAAATTTATTGATCAATACCGTTGACAATAATAAACTGCTGATAAGATACATTTATTTGCTCATCAATTTATTGATTGGATCTGAATATAGATTTATTATTATTGAATGTTCATATTCACTAGCATGGCATAACACTAAAGAATTGATATGGGTTTTTTTAAACACAGGAATAATTATATATATTTACTATTATTATTATTATTGCAAAAAATGCCGCTTTTACTTTTATGTCATTTTCTAACAGAATGTTTGTTAGTTTGACAAGTGAACAATCCGTTTAGGATTTTATATATATATATATATATATATATATATATATATATATATATATATATATGAGCGGACTGTTGAAGATTTGACTCTTGGTTATTAATTGGAGTGTGTGAAATTTTCCATGTGACTTAATGAATTGGTGTTATGGTAGTGTGACTTTTTCAAAATAACTTATTGCTATTATTATTATTATTATTATTACAAAACAAGGCATAAATGACTAATCTTGCCGTAAGCATGATATTATATTGAATGCCGCCTAGCAATGCTTTATACCTTTCTATTTTTATGAAAGCAACAAAACCGACAAGACAACAGTTATACGGTTAAAAAAATATTCTGCCGATGGACTGACATTTATTCTCAGTAGTAGATATTATAAAGTTAAAGGTATTTGTGTGTATAAGTCTATCTGTGTGTGTAATCTGCATTATTCAAATTAAGAACCCAATACATTGTTGATTTCCAAGTGATCACATTCATCTTTAGTAAGTAGTATATGAATTGCTTATGAAATATTTATATCATTTGATCATTTTTAGCTGATAATTGAAAATAAAACAATTGTGAATGGGCACTCTATGTATTTTAAATTATGAATAATGTGTACAAATATTAACATTCACTTAAACTCACTTTCAGTTTATTATTTTCTACTGTTGGTAAAACTTATATGTATAATGTCGGCGAATTGAAAATGTGATAGTGTTTTTAGTTGATCACTTCGAATGCATCAATTAACTAATAGGATTACAAGTAAAAATAAATAATTTTATGTAAACTTACATGATAGTAGGTTCTAGTGAAACCAGTTTAATATTGACCAATTAACTTGATATTCTGATTGTTATGCATAAACTGAAATTGTTTTATGCATATAGTTCTTTACAAACATTTTAACTAACATTATTCATATTTTCTTCTTTTAAACAACAATGTTAATATCAATGTGCATACAGTTTTTCATCGATGGTGCACGACACTTACTAGATGTTTATTTATTGGGTACAACATTAATTGGTCAGATACGTAATCAGTCTGTTACAATTGTCAATCAAAATCCTGTGCCGGTAAATTAGTTTTATTATTATTATTTCTGTACATTCTTGTTGAAGTTTAATTGATATATTGCTACGATAACAATATTTATCATTTCATGATGTTGTACTCTGTGAATTTGAAACAGCTGTCATCTGATCAAAACTAATTATTTTGAGAAATGCATGGTAGTATGCTCTGTCCCGACCTACATGAAAGTACTTCTACAAAAACAGTTTGAATTTTTATACAAAAGATATTTCAAAACTGGGATACTTTTACTGAATTCAAGGTATTTGAATTGAATAAAAAAACACTGTCAAAAATGATACAGCTTTTAGTATAAAGCAGATGCATTAAAAGAAAAAAATGTCTACTGAACTAAATATAATACTATGAGATTATAAGTCAACTCACTATTATGGTTCAAACTGATATTGATCGAATGAACAGTAATCGTAGGTAAGTATGACTACATTATTAAAGGCTAAGAAGCTACTCGCAGTCAGTAGCATATATTCATCAACTGATACGAACTCAATTGAAAACAATATGACAGGCAATTTATTGAAACCTTAACGAATGTTATCGAAGTAGGACGTATAACAAAACAAGATCATCCATTATTCAATTTGATGAACCTGTTTTAGTTTGATTTTATGGTAGACCAAATTTATATAAACCAAACTTTCATGTACCGACAACTATTTCATCTCCATTGACGCCGATTTTCAATATAATATTTGCGAAACTCTAAAATATTTAAACTTCAATCATTTGATTGATTTTTAGCCATCAGCACAGTGTCTATATTTCTGAAATAAGATGAGAACGATTTTTTTCAGACCCCTTCTTCATTGAAATTACCTGCACCATCGGAGGTTTTTTTATTCATTCAGTTATAGGGAATATAGAACCTGAAGTTGTAGAAAAGGTTAGACATAGAACGAAAAAATAAATGAAGACTTGGAGACTGAATTCGACATAAGACAGACTGAATACATCCACTCTATTTCAATCGCTTGTGAATCATTTCACCCAACGCGCAGATCCTAACCCTCTTGTCTAAACCAACCAGCAAAACTCAGTTAAGCTATCAAAGACGTCGTGCATTAATGTAACGTTTTGGTTCCTCCACTTCTATTTTTCTTTCAATTTAGTCGTATACCATCCGAAATCGCCCGTCGTGGCAGGCGATGTTTCAGTATACATAATACAATTCTAATCGACTGATGACTGAGTGATAGTTAATACCATGTGTGTTAAGTCCAAATATCACGAAACCTAATTCAATGGTTTTCTGTCGACTACATCTAACCACCACCTCATACGTCATATATATTCTAACCATTGCAATTAATCAAGATTTACTACCTACCAGTTAAACTGCCGTATTTCGCGCATCGGAAGCCTCCTATCTGAAAGAATACATTGTACATTTGGTCAGTATTACTGATCGGTCTTTGTGATCTTTATTAATCATTAGGTCTCGAATAAATTTACTATTTATATACTTATAGTTATGAGAGAGATTTCTCGTGTGATTCTATGATTTGAAGTGTCTATCTTCCAGTTGGTATTTCTTCGCATTAGCTGTACTAATTTATGACCCTTTATTATTGAAATTTTAATCATTATAATACACTGAATTATTAACTTTCGATTCTCTCTGAAAAAAAATTGTATTATTGTTGCTATTATTATTGTATATTTTGTCATTGTTATTTTTTACGGGACAAATATACCCGATTTTATCATTTCCCAATGTGAGATATAAAATTAATTATTACCCTTTCAACGTGATATACGCTTACATTTAAACGTAGATACACATTTTCGAAATGAAAAAGATTAGTACCGAGATTTAATTTTCATCCTATTCTCTTTTATGACTTTCAATACTTACTTACGCCTGTTACTCTTAGTGGAGCATAGGCCGCCAACCAGCATACTCCAACCCACTCTGTTCTGAGCCCTCTTTTTTAATTCCATCCAATTGTTGTTCATTTTTGTCATGTCTATCTCCATTTCCCGGCGTGATGTGTTCTTTGGTCTTCCTCTTATCCTTTGGCCTTGAGGATTCATGTGAGGGCTTGTCTTGTGACGCAGTTGGGTGCTGTCCTCAATGTTTGTCCTATCCACTTCCAGCCCTTCTTCCTCATTTCTTCCTCCGCTGGCATCTGGTTTGTTCTTTGCCACAGTTGGTTGTTGCCAATAGTGTCCGGCTAACGGATCCGAAGTATTTTGCGTAGAGAACTGTTAATAAACACCTGTATCTTCTGGATAATGGCTTTCGTACGTCTGCTTTCAGTGCCTCTTCTAGAATGTTGTCTGGTCCTGCTGCTTTGCCACTCTTGGTTTGTCTGATGGCCATGCTGATCTCTTCAATTGTTGGTGGGCCACCATCGATTGGGAGGTCCGTGGGTGCTACTTCGATGTTGGGTGGGTTCAGTGGGGCTGGTCGATTCAAGACTTCTTTGAAGTGTTCTACCCACCTGTTTCGCTGTTCTTCAATGTTGGTGATTACTTTGCCTTTCTTGCTTCTCACTGTTCGTTCTGGTTTACGGTGATTTCCAGAGAATTTCTTTGTTATGTCATACAGTTCTCTCATGTTTCCTTCTCTTGCAGCCTTTTTCAACCGTCATTGCTAAATCTTCCACATATTTACGTTTGTCGGTTCGGATGCTCCTCTTCACTTGTTTGTTTACTTCTGTGTATTCAGCTTATGCCTTGGCTTTTTCTGCTCTTGTTCGGCTGGTATTGATTGCTGCCTTCTTGTTCCTCCTTTCTTGAATCTTATCCAGTGTATCAACAGTGATCCATTCCTTATGATGGTGCTTCTTGTGGCCTAGAACCTCATGACATGTTCAAGTGATTGCCCCTTTGATCCCCTTCCAGTTGCTCTCCACAGTAGTTCCTTCTCCATTGAGTAGATCATGAAAGGCCTGGAACTTGTTGCTGAGGACTATCTTGAATTTGTTGAGTTTGTCAGTATCCCGAAGAAAGGCCGTATTGAACTTTTTTGATATTGTTCGCCCCGTTGTCCAGTGGTTTAGTGATGCGAATTACTTTGACTAGTACTATTTGATGGATTGGTTTAAAAAATTGTATATGATCTTTTTTTCTCTCCTATTATACTACCATTAAAGACCAAGCATAAATAATGCTATCCGGTTTATCTGAGTCTGTAAAAAGATGATATTTTATGTTTATTTACGTAATGTTTCTCTTTTTTTCTTGCTGCCAACAACTGAATTATTTAGTAAGTATGCAACCTACTGATTTTTGTCACTAATATTGTCGGTCGCGGATCGATAAACATACATAAAGTTTTCGATATAAATTTCAGAGGTGTAGAGTACTATTTCAACTCGATGGTTCATAGCTATTGTGTTTTATTCAGGAGGAGTTTAGGGTTCGATCCCTTTCGGGGTTATAGGTGCACATCAATACTACCTTTTATTTGTTAGTTTTTTCAATCATTCTCCAGTTGATATAAGTCCATGACAAAAACTTTTCTCAAGCTCTCACTTCTTCTCAACATACTATAAACTTAACCTGTTTGACACTAACTATTCTATTTCTCTTCTTAAATCTGAAGAGAATTTTGCCGACTTCATTGCTGATTTGTAAATATGTATACATACTAACTGTATCTGAAATTATATGAGTCTTTCTGTCTGTTTATAATGTGTTTTTTTTTCAGATTGAATTAACGTCAGTTAATATATATACAGAGTCGGATAATAATGCCAAGTGTGAGATTATGAAACCAAAACGTGAAGGTTGCCAACTTTCAGGCCCATGTGAAAAATGTACTTTTCAGTTTGTAAGTAGAAAAAACAACTGAAACTTTTTTTATTTTTGTTGTTATCGTTTTGTATGTATTTTCTTTGAATAGTAATCGGTTTAAAATGTTACTGTTTGGACTAATAAATTTTTTTGCCTTGTTCAATGTTTCTGTCTGTTCAGGATGACTGTTTGTTATCATAATCCATATTTTACCCCTTTGTGTAAAAATAAATCTATGTTTACTGTAATGAAATAAAGATTCATTTTCAATTGAACAGTATGTCCACCTTCTAAGATGATTAACACACATTCCTGTGTTCGTTCCATCACTCGTTTTAAAATACATTGTTAACTAGAATTAGGAGTGAATTGCAGGGGATCTGACTTACTTATGTTTCATGAGTCAATGGAGTCATTTATTACTGAGATGCTCGACAAATCAGCGTGATTGAATTGTATGAGAAATTTTAGTTGTGGAAACGTTCAATACAATAACTTTCATTTATTTTCTCTCTCTTTTTATCTTAAATTAACAAGTTTGACGGCGATGAATTTCATTTAAATCTAAAATAAACTAAGTGAATATAAATTCTAAACTAACATTTCCAGTTTGAAAGATATCAGCTGTATACAGTCTTAATTTTCTAACATATCCCAGATCAATTTCCTATACACATTATTTGTTGACTTCTTTTAAATCATTATGAAATTCAGTTAGTTAGTGTAGTTCGTTTAGAATCAAAATAATTACTAATCAGGTCATAAATATCTACCACTATAACTCACTGTATTGAACATTTTATGCTCAATAATTGCTTGATATTATGACAGAATAATAGAAATGTTTTCTTAACAGTAATGTTCAAGGAATTAAAGTGTTAAAAACATGTATTGTATAATCTCTATAGTGTTATTTTAATATGATTAATGCAAGCCATTAATCTATAATAAAACGAATTTAAATTAATGCAATACCTCTTATCGGTTGATGTTATTATGTTGTACTTTTGAAAGGGGAACAAAATTGTTTAAATGATTTGTTTGTTTGTTTAGAAGTCTTGTAAAACAATCCAGTTGTTCAAACGGAAGAGTAAAGTTTGAAACTTATGACCTATCGTTTAAAATCTGAGCGCTTAAATTATAAATATATATATATATATATATATATATATATATATATATATATATTTGAAGTAATAATGAATATGTGAATGATTGTCATTAAATTTAAAGTTGATCATTTGAAAATTGTTTCTAAGTAAATATGAGAAATAGAAATTGTGATGTTGAATAGATTCTAATTTTTCAGTCGTTTTTTTTTTATTTTCATTTTTTCAATGAATTTTAAACATTATTTCATGTTAAATATCTTTTGTATCTATAAAAATTTCAGTGATTTTACTAATAAATTTACTTGTCATGAATATAAAACACATTTTTATGTGTTAGAAACATGAATTAATTTCCGATAAAAGAATCAATTGATTGTAGAATAAAATGATCAGAAAAGTTGTCATAAGCTGAAAAGTGATCGAAAAATATATTTAAGTACAATTAATGGTTGTTTTATTATAATTTAAATATTCTAATCAATGTATACTCATTAGTTATGGATCTAGAACTTCTGTGTTTGAAGCTAATATGTCTATGAAAATAAACATCGATGAAATTGAACGGTGGTTTCCTGAAATCACAAATAGATTGAAAGTAATATGAAGGATACTGCTTGACTTCAGCTTAATGGTATTGTGTTTATTTTTGAACCTGAAATACCTGACTTCATCCTCTTTAGTGAGGTTACGAATATGCTCTATTGAGAAGTCTTAAGCTAGAATAAAATAGCTACCCAGAGCTCCCTAATTTTCAGTAGTTCTTCAGCTGATATCATTTCATGATTAAATTAATTTATAAATTAAAAATATTGAGTTGAGCATATCAAGACATGGCATCAGTCCTTGAAGTCGTAGGCTGTTGGTTGTTTCAGATCACCTGGTTAGGGGTTGCACAATAGACGTAATTAGTAGTCTCAGACGTTGGATGATATAGCTCAGAATCTGTCACAATGACACAGAAACACTAATTCTACATCATGTCGATCTCCGATTCTACTGTTCTTTCATATATATATATATATATATATATATATATATATATATTAGTATTGCTTTTCTCGGCTCCTTTGTCATTTATCTTATGATCATTTCTTTTTGCTGAGTTTACATAGTAATTTAGGTTAACTGACATTTATAGCAGAGTGTCATTGTATTATAATTAATTGACTAACTGATTTTCAAATTATATAAATTCTTACAAAACTAACGAAGTAATTATTGAAGACGGAAAAGTGCCACAGTATCGTTGTTAAAATACTGGTAAATGATTATTAGAATTTGTTAATCAAATCAGAAACTAATTCAAACACATAAAATAATTGATAAATAATTAAGTTGAGAATGATTCATTTAGCAGACTATAAAGTTTTAACAATGAACAATACAATTGTATTAGATTTATATATATTGTTACCATGGTGACGACTAATTAAATCACGCTATGTTTCTACTTGCATAGTTTATCCTTTGAATACCTAATTGTAAACTCTTCTAAAATGCGGGTCAGAATCACTAGACTCAGTTTTGTTTTCTTTATTATATCGAATGATCGAAAGATATCGGTTGAACATCACGTGTTCATAAAATTTTCTTCAATCATCTTAATAAAAATTCTGGTCACTTTCAAAGACATATTTCGTTACATATTGTGAAATTCTTTCTCTTACTTCTTCTAATATACTGAATCTCACTGAATTAATAAATATGTGGTATTGTAATCAATCTAGCAACTAGAAGGCTTCTGTGCATTTCAGTATATCAAATATCAAACACTGAGTTCTTTCATAATTGTTGAATGTCTAGAATTTTCAGTCCGTTCATTTATTATGTCTGATTATGTACTTCTTATGGGGTCCACTGCTATCTGTGACTCATCTCAGTTATGATGACACCTTTTTGTTTGCCTCAAACTAGTATAATTAGATCCCGTTTTTTACAGTAATGGAATCTTAAATGACACTATGGAAAACCTCATAAAATATCTAGGAAATCAAGATCTGGATTCCATTAAGATGTATATTCCAAACTACAAAAATCCCTTGATTCATTCTAATACGTGTGGTAAGGACAATTTCATACCAATAATCTAAACAGAGAGAGATGTTCAGTGTATGGAGTTTTGGAAAATCCTACATGAATAGATTGTGTAAGTCTCGTAGCTGATAGATGAAATAAACTAATCGATCAGCCATTCCTTCAACTGATCCTGTAAATGTTCATTTATTATGTTGTTAATGTTATTTTGTGTTTTCAGCTTTTTGTCTTAGTCTGTCACACTAAATCTCTACTATTTTCTCTCTATAGTCATTCTTATTCATTTAAATAACACTAGATCCCTAGTTGGTTCACACTACCACTGTTGTATGAGGTTCGCAGGACCGGTTTGTCTTCTGTATCCAGGGTTATTAATTGTTGACATCATATTCATAGAAATAATAAGTGTAGCTTGATTCAGTTCTTTTTTTCACGTCTAGAAGCTGTAAATTATTCAACTTTCAGTCCACAATAATAATCTAAACCAGATTTAAACGACAAATCTCTCTTCCAAGTTCATGAGTGGATCGAACTCGAAATAATTATACTAAGCAAATCGATAAGAAAACGTAACGTAGAAATTTATATGTAGTTTTCTCATATCTTTTTATATTGTTACAATTATTAAATCAGTTTTTTTTATATTTTTACTCAGACTAAAATCCAATCATTATCAGAAATAAATATCCCATTTTCATGGGGTAATGAAAATATTGCTCAACATATTAAAGGATTTATACAAATTAAAACAAGATATACAGTAAGTTTTTTTCCCTTTTCATTCTTCATTTTCGTATTCATTACTTCGCTATTACACTTTTTACTGAATTTGAATATATGTCTGTATAAATGTGTTTTTTCCCGTGAAACTTCTCAAGGAATATTACATTCTTTTAAGTAGGATAGTTTATTTGTACGAAGTTCTTTCACTAACATCATTTTATTGTTTGTTTCTTTTTTTTATTTCCGACATTTTCACTCTTGACAATAATAATAATAATAATAATAATAATGAAAAGCTGCATAATTGAATAGAAACAATTCAGCTAATCAACTACAAACTGCACTAAAATACTTCTTACCCAATGCGAATAAATGTATTTCTCAATTTCCACGCAGAAGAAAATCACCTCGATTATGTTATTTTAAAAAAAGCTATTGAAAGGATTGAGCCAAAAATTACACCTTGAAAAATAAATTTTCAAAAAACTACTGTATTTCAACTAGTATATTCTAACAATAAAAGTATTGATTCTCTGAAGAAGTGACTTACACTAAGTCACGAAACGTCAGTAAATCTAATTATTCTATTCATTGGGATATTACAAATATATTATTTAGTATGATTGTTTGTTTGTTTCTATGTTTTTTACTATGCTTAATATTCACTCTGAAAGAACAAGTGAGAGGAAAAGCGATACTATGGAAATTTTGTAATTCTCTAGTGATTGCATATTTAATTATTGGTGTATATACATGGGTTTATGTGCCCGTACACGCATTCCGTATAATAAACAAACAGACTATGCTGAGTATATATTATGTATTCTTATTATCTTTTTGCATTTCATTGTTAGTCCTTTCTTTAACCACAGTATATATTCAAGTATTTTAATTATATTATAATTGAAAACTACTAGCTTTTGTGATAGAGATTACATCTTATCTATGACATTAGTTGAACAACACATAAAAAACTATAATAGAACAAAGCGAACTTGATTAATATTAGTAGATGAATAGAATTGGAACTTGTCAAAATGTTCGGTATATTCTGTTTAGAATTATTCTAAATAGGATAAAGCTTTTTTAAAAAAAAAAGGTTAAATTATCTCATAAATCATTGCTTGTATTGTCTCTTTACAGCGTTTGCACAAAATTGATCGATTGTTTTGACCTTGAGCGATGGTTAAATTGACCTTGATAGTGTTGTAAATTCTCTGATTTTCTATTCATAACTCATTACATTTTTGGCATACTAAAACCGATTCAGACGTAAACAAAGTTATCTCGCTTAAAAGCCTTTATATACATATATTGTTTATATTTCTTTATTTCAATGCATTTTCTAGGTACTAGAGTGTTTATTGCCGATTGTATCACTAACAAAATTATTAATTTGAGAGTTTCTTTTCCAAACAGGACAAGAAAGTTAATTATTTCCTTTCATTTTCGTTCCTAACACAAATTTCGTCAAAACAATAAAGATCTCTTTGCTTTTAACATTTGCACAAACTCACTCACTCTACCATGGAGAGAAATGACTATTTCTCATCAGTTGAAAACCTTTTTTCATCAAATGAAATTTATTTTTTGATGATCAGTGGTTGTGTGGTATGTGCTACTGGTGTCGACAGATATAAGTAGTATGTATAATCAGTCGAAGGTGAAATGTCTAGCGGTAGAAGGTTAAAAAGATCTTAGAAAAGAGAACGAGAACAGAGAATGATTGATGTATAAACGAAGGAATAATCAAGTCTGAGACAATTGATTGAGATTTTACAAATGAAGTATTTACTATATGGTTCTCAGATATTACTGAGATTTGGTTGTCCTCACCTGTGTTCTTGTTCACTACAGTTGATGTTAAATTAAAAAGTTTCACTAAAACACTGAAATCGTTAATTCAGTTTTTCCGGTATCGTTGTATAGCTCAACCATATTTATTCGTCGATTGTCCATCTTCTTACCTACATATCCATTTTTATCAATGAATAGGCGATGTAATCTGTAATGTCCATTCTTTTATATTAGGAATACATCATTTAAAAATATCTACATCAGATTAGGTATTATCACTTTTGATAGGACTCTAAACTGGTATTTATTACTCCAGTTTCTAAAATGCTATCTATTATACCACTGTATGATGTAAAATACCACTTTCTTATTTGATAAGTACTAATTATTTTCTGAGTGTTGTTAATTTTTCTAAGGTTACAATTCTTTCTATATTGTTTATGGTTAAATCACAGTTGTGTCCTACTATTATCGATTATGCACTGCCGTAAAGATCAACAGTTTTGGAGAATACCTTTTTTATTGATTGATCACTGAATAGTGACCAATGTCATGTTTATCTAGTCTTTAATGGTGATCAGATTCTATCGATCAATTTTCAGTATGTTCACTTTTCTAAGTAACTCAACGTCTCTTGTGCTATATTTTAATATATGATGATTTCCCTGACACATACCTTCAATCATCTGCCAAACCATTATTTAATAATACACATTGCACAGTAGTTTAATTCTGTTTTAACTCATTGAATCAATCTTCTGATAGAATTGTATATAAGTATGTTTTATTTCTTTATAATATAATTTTATTTGACAAAATATTTTGTTTACTGATTATTCTCTCTTTAGTTACTTCCTTTTTTTATAAACTTGATTTTTAGGTAATAGAACAACAATTTGAATATTTCGTAACACGTGGCCTTATTAATGTGATACCCAATCCACTGATTGTAAATAGTTTATTTCCTGTAAGCACTTTTATTATGTATAATAAGTATCATCATTTATACACCTTGTGATGTTTTATCCATTCACTAGTCATTCATTCATTCAACGTTGATGATTTAATTAATACCTGTTCGTTTACAATTAACTGTTGAAATGCAATGAAAAAATGATTAACTACTAATAAGTAGATAAACATTAATAACTGATATGTATGTGGTCGGACGCCAAAATGACACTGAATGGTAGCTTGACACTATTGGGCATAACACTTTACTGATTATAATGATCGAATTTATAATGAATATAAAAAGAAAAATTATCTGTCGTATAAAATGTAAGATTAATTTGCCTTATCCATAAGAAAGAGTTACTAGCCGGATAGAAATTGTTTGCTTAACCTTTAAATTTTTTAAAGTTGGTTGAAATTTAGAATTATAATACACCATCAAAATGAAAATTGATATAATAGTCAATCTGACAGAAACATTCAGTGCTTAAAGACTGAAAAATCCGACATAAGTTAAATTTATGTTTGAGAGATAGAGATTTCTCATATTTGACAAACTATCTTGCTAATCCCATTGAACTTACTCATTACCAGACTAATCAGTAATAAGTACTCTAGATTAAACCATTCTTGATGCAATTTGTGCAACTTAATCTATCATAACATTAACCTCGATCTTTATCAGTGAAAAAGAAATAATAAACTTTATATGAACCAATACTATCACAACCCAACGCGTACATAGAACATTGCACCATAAAGGACATATGTTTTCCTCTGTGAAGTACTCTTGTATCAATACCTGAACACTGAATTGAATTAAATTCTAATGTTTTTAACTTGTTTATTGTTGATAATAAAATCCATTCCATCTCGTGACAATAATAACTGACAACGCAGTCTACACCGAATATGTTACCTACTTGGGATTTATGGGAGGAATGTACATCATTATCAGTCTCAATATCCCCATTGTAACTTGGATTAAACATTTATTTCTTCAGTTATCATGACACTCTTTACTGGGCTACACATTCACTGTAACCGTCTGTTCAAATGCTCCTTTACTTCTGCACGTATTCATACAAAATCATCCATATACAAACAAATGAACCAATGCCATTTGATAGTAGCCAGGTGGTGGATTGCTCAACATTTTAATCTAATACTACTCATTACTACGTTTTTGGTAGTCTTTTTCCTTTCAACTTATCATAATCTGTTTGATACTAGTTATTTCTGGAGGTGGTATTTATCTCGAATTGACCTCAGCACTTAAAATCCAGAAACACTGGTCAGCTGTTTCCCTGGCGTGATCTTAGGTCTACATTACTGAGGAGTCTCATACTTGAACCCAGTAAGCTGTCCAGTGCTCTCTGTCTTCTAAATTATACCTCACTTTAAGACAATCTACGATAAATACCACCTTGAAATAGATCCAACCTCTATAAAATTCACTCAATAATTCTGATTTTGTTTGTTTGTTTTTGTTTCCTCTTCTGTTTCTACTAGGGAAAAATTATCATGCATAATATTATTGTCCAGAATGCGTATCCTACAGAGATCAATATTTCTGACATAAAATTACATCGCGTTATCACGTCTTCAGATGATTTTGACAATCCGATTTCATTTAATATTATCCGGTTTTATAAAATTAAACAAAACAAGACTAGCAATGATACAAATTCACCTCATTCATTCCAACCAATTCAATTCACAGCAAATCAATCTAGAGTGATTGGAGTCGTTTATTTTGACCCATCTGTGAGTTGCGTTGATAGATTTGAAGATATTGCTCAATATGATACAATGTCGGCAACAACAACAACAACTACTACTAATACTACCAATTCGACTTCAGTTTATCCTGTCCCCGATATAATTAAACCTGCCGGAGCTAATAAACCATTTTGTTATTGTGGATTTAATTTAGATACGTCCTTAGGTATGTAAACCATTATTCAAACGCTTTGACTATGTTTGTTAGACCAATGACCACAATTTGTGCATTTTAGTAATAAATTTTAAGATCCTTAAAATATATTACCTAATATTTTAATGTTAGTTCCCCGTTCCAGCCTTCTGGAAGGGCTGATTGGCTTATCTGAACCGTGTCTTATTTACTCGAATGGTACACATATCCGAGGTGAAATATGAATTTTCTTTAGAGAACCATTCTATATTGGAGCCCCAAGTGACACTGTGTGTACATTTGCAACTGTTTTGGGAGCCAGATGGACACTACTCTTTTTTGATAAGTGTACATTAAATACGAACTAGGAGATACACAATTTTGAGACTCATACATTCCATAGCATACGCATAACCATAAATGCTATATTTCGGAGTGTATATACTATCTGCTCACTCTTAAAAAATGCTTGCTACAGTTTGAGAGCGCACAATGGATGCTCCTCTTTTGACAAGTATACACTACGTGAATATCAGAAATACATTTCCTTGAAACTCATGCATTCCGTAGTATGCACATCAACATAAATGCTATAGTTGACAGGATAAAGTGGTCTCCACTCCCTTTTTAGAAATTAAACCTGCACTTTTCGTCAAGTGCAAGCTACATGCACACAAAATAATCAAATTCAAGATCTGTGAATTTCATTTCATACCCATAAACATAGACGATCCCTCTCTATATGTTTTTTTGCAAGTATGCATTACGTATACACCTAGAATGCACAAGTCGTATGAATCTATCCATCTTATAAAATACACATAGAGGCATAAATGCTCTCGTGTTTTCCGTATGAGTATAACATTGGTTAGTTCAAAAGTACTGCATAGTAATGGATTAGGCTGATCTCCATCGACCACTCATATTAGTTCATGGGATACAGTCTCACTATTCCCTGAGCACCACGTGAAGGTGTCAGTCGCATTTTACTTAAGAAACATCTAAGTAATAACTAGTTTAATTCATTTACCACTGACCGTGTTTCGTTATGATTTGTTGTTAAAAATAAATACGCATCTTTACCTTTCATTAGGTCTCCAATCTTCTTAATATCATCCCCTTTGCTTATAACTAATGTTGTGGATCTTTTGTCAGCTAGCATTATGACTATGCCCTGCTTTTGTCCAATATATTGGTCGTGTATTTCACTTAACTGGTCAGTGTTAAGGGATTCCTTTTCTGCGTGGTGAATAGGCCTATAGACATCGATCCTATTTAGCAGTCTATAAGAAAAAGTTAAACCAGTTAATCGGCCAGAGGTTAATCAAGAAATACACCCAGAAGAAACACGAAGGTAAAGGTAAGTGAAGCTGACGAAATCTCCGAAGACAATCAACTACGTACTATGTCATTATGACAGACTGACTTATTATCTCCAAGATACGCATCATGAGAGCTATCATCTTTGCGGAGAGGAAAATTAAATGGTTCATTGTAAGGCGTTTCCAGTCCAGGTATAAGGTTCGTGTAATAACAATAATAATGCACAATTACAAAGAAGAACATAAAAGCAGGGAGCACGGAGCAAAATCAACAACAAAATTACTATAATTGTTCTCGTTAGTTGATAACGTTGGATTACATGACTCAAGATCGATCATAACAACTAAGCTGCATACATTCTCTATCTGCCTATATATCTTCAGTTAAATACTGTTCCATGTTATTCTTTCTTTAGTCTCATTTATTCCTTTCAAACTATATTTCACATATTTATCTTGTCACTGAATTATATCTTATAATCTTCTCATCATATTAATTTCTTCTTTCTTTGTAATATTATGAGAAGTGACAATTTGAACCGATACATATCCGTGCCATGTTCTGACGGATGGAATATCCACCTATAGAATATTGAGTATAGTATGTTGACTACTGAACTTGTGAACTTAATCACGATTCACTACATATTTGGATGATAAAGTTTCATAGTTTATTATTCACTCTTTGATTTCTTTTATTTAAAATAAATAAAATGTATCATGTGAATATCTAATAGAATTCATTAGAATTCAATAAAAACTTCTGACAAGCATATCTGATAAACCAGTCTATAGTTCAGTTAAATAGGTTGTGTTTATTGACCTTTTTGCGTCTAGTAATTTCATTCATGATTCATAATTATATTCTCTCATATTACATTTATTTTTTCTTACTTGTAATGATTTTATTTTACTGACAATTTTGAAAGTTAAAATAAAACCGAGATTATTACATGATTTAAAACAATTATCAATGTTCTTATAATACTAGAATCAATATGTCCACCAATATATATCTGCAGTTGTGTAGTTAATTAGAATTCAGCGCAGAAAATCATTTACTTATGCTGTACATTCGTAACTATAGTTGTTTAATAAATAGTATGTTTATAAAAAGATAGAAAAGACTTATATCATAAGGTGATTTCCAATATCAAATAAAGTTGCGTAATAATCAAGGGGTTAGAAAAGAATAGAAGGATGAAAATAATTTACGGGTCAAAATTATGAAAGATAATTATTCGCTTGACACATATGAAATAAAATGAAAAACATAAAGGTCATAATAATAAATGAATATTAATCATGAAAAATTGTTAAAGGATAACAATAACTGATTACGGTTTAAAATACTAATTAAAAAATAAAACAAGACCAAAACATACTACAGAAGGGAATTAGGGCCAATAAAGGATGAGAGGTTGGATCGCCAACTCCTCAGCAGTGCAGAAGTTTTTGATTCTATCTCCCTTCAATCCAATTCCTTTAGTTGTGTAGATAATTTTAAAGAAAGACCTCTTTGGAGCGACGTGCTCAGAGTTGATTAGATGCTTCTGTATTGAACTGGTGATTGTCTTGCATTCTCCTTTTAAAAGCACGCTGGGTAATGTTTTGTGATGCGTTTGGAAAGTGATCACTTTGTGCGGCCAATGTAACCTGCCCCATAGGAGTAAGTAAATCTGTAGATCCACATTGATGTAGCCCGAAACAGAATTTTATCCTTCACAAATCCGTAAATGGTAGATCGGCTTGAGAAGACAATACAGTACTTAGCTAAATAGATTTTATCCAAGGATTTTGAAATCCCTTTATTCAAGATTTCGTCAGCTGTATCTCTTTTAGATTCGGTATTCTTGAAAAGAGTTTTCTTTTGAACTGTTGGTGCTTTTTCGGGATGTTGTCTTAATGTTTAATTCCTATCGACAAATGTAAGCGGATGACCGTTTCTGATGAATATCCGTCGAATTTGAAGCAGTTTGTCATCTATTGCGTCATTAGAGCATGGTCGCCGAATTCTTGAGGATAAAGAGTGAGTTAAGTTTTTCGTTCTATTCATTGGGACCCAGCTATGGAAATTCATATGCTGACCATTCCAGGTCGGTTTTCTCTATATAGACGTCTGTAAAGAATTATCTGAGCTTTTTAACCGGACATCAAGAAAATGAAATTCCTCGTTCGCCTCTGTTTCCAATGTGAATTAATTTGAGTGATGACAATTATCAAATCGATTCAAAATTTCACTGAGGTTCGTACCTTCCTCACAAATAGTGAAAGTATCATCCATATATCTTATGTAAATGAAATCCCTCAATTGTTATTCGAAGTACTGTATTTTCCAGATTGGCCATGAAACAACCAGCCAAGAAAGGGCCCAGTGATTAACCCAGTCTGGAATCATTTTATTGTGTAGTCTTTTCTGTTCTTCTATAGACATGTATCTACCCTGCGAATGTACAGCTTAAGTAAATGATTTCGTCGAGAATAAAACTTTATTCGCTGAATTCTCTTAATTTTTATTCAATGATAATCGGTTATATTAAGTAATTAATTAAATTTATTCAGTCTATTAATATTGATTCGGTTTAGATGTAAGGAATTGCTGTTTCCGTCAGAGGGACATCAACATTAGAATCCTAGCCTACTCGGGAAAAAAAATTTATTCTTGATTCCGCCACTATCTCTCATGAAACAATCAAAATGTTATTTTATACTGTCATATCAAGACATTCACTTATGTGGCCAGTGTGCTGAAGTTGTTCGTATTCATATAATGAAGTTATATGAAACGTTTATATACATATATATCCGACTTTTATTGACTTTTAAAGTATATACTTTTAGAATAAATATTGTATCTCCTATTGTTTATAACAACTAAAATATTCTACATAATATTCTGCATTGTATATATGTACTATAGTTTTTATCATACTTGTTATTACTCTCAAGTAATATGTACTAATACTCCAGTACCATTGCCTATAATATAAGTAAATGATTGTCTGTTCGTATAAATTTTATTTCATCAACCATACTGATTGCTTGGTTGTTCACTTTCACTCATTCTGTTTTTCGAATTTTCTTTTTTTTTCTCTTACTATTGTGGGTATAATTTATTAACAGGAATGTTATGGTTGAAGGGTGTTAAAGGAAATGTCAATCAATCTATAGATAAAATCATTCATCAATCACCTGTAAATCGTCTAATAATTGAAGAAACATTTAAACTATACAATGAATTATACAGTCAATGGTTAAAGCATTCAATAAATAAAGATATGACCTCTAAACGTACTTTTATGGAAAAAAATATCTTAACATCTATAAGTTATGAACTGCCTGATGAAAATATAACATTTTTTAGTGATTTATCTGTTCGATACATGTGGCCGCTTATAACTAGTACTCGAAAGGTTCCTATAAATGTATCAAATAAACATTTAACATTTTGTACAATCAAAAATGTCCCCTCTTCATTATCAGTATCTTCAGAATCAGAGAATCGATCTTTACCCACTCATCGTTTGCTGCAAATACCAACAGTATCATCATCATTACCATCGTCGTCAGAAGAAACAAATTCATTTGAATGTATTTTTCAAATAACGAATCCTCAATCAACGATAAATCCGTTATTTGTTCAACCGATATTATGGAATGAAATATATAAAAATTATGCTACAAATGAATCGGAATTAAATCACTTAAAAGAGCTGATTACAAATATTTCGGAGGATTCAACATCCATCGATTCAGTAAGTTGTTTGTGTTACTGTTATTTGATGTACTTGTTTGTGTACGTTTGTGCTAAGAGATATGTAAAATTAGTAATCGGATTTCGTTAAATAAAACCAACAGCTTATTACAAAATCTCCAAAATAAATTGAGTGACAAGTTGAAAATACTTGGCATGTGTATGACATTTATTTGATGTCAACAAAATTTTAAGGCTGATTTTGTAACAACGTTTAATCTCACTGTATGAGACTAGTTATTTGAAACAATATGATTACTTCATCTATCTAACCAGTTGTGTTGTACTCGTTTCTAAGTTTATTACTACTACATGGAATTTCTCAATGTATATTTACCAAGCATAGGTTCATGTACTCCACTATAAGCCACACTTTATGTTTGAAGGCTAGTAATATTTGTTGGACTACCTGGACGAAAGTGAATAGAACTAAGTTCAAACCCACGAATTATTGGTTGAAAACCGAGTTTTATTAACCATTATAACATCCCTCAAAAATGTGAAAATAACAACATAGCTATAATTTAAAATCACTTAATATTACCTACTCTACATCATTTATGGTGTTAGCAAGAATTCTTGTCTACATAATAGAGGATTAGTTTGAATAATAAGAATATTTTGTGTTTAACTCGTATAGTTGTAAGTTACAACCATACTGAGTGTACAACGTGATGAAGCCGTTAGGAGCCCTCAATAAATCTTCTAGAAGCAAGGAAGATAGCTACTAAAAAACGTCAACCAATCAGTGCTTATAAGAAAAATCCAGAAAACGATTGATTATACTTTCCTAATCCTAACCAAATTTGTTACGAATTTTAGCATGTTTTCCAGAAGCTTCAAAAATCTCAACGCTACACATAATCTAATAAATACCCTTGTGTTTTATACCGGATCTAACCTATGAAGTAAAGCTTTCTCAATACTTCCATCCTTCTGTTTTCGGTTCAGGATTTAGGAGTAGAAGAATTCATAGAACCAGATGCTAGGATATCTACATCTAACCTTTTGTATCCAAGACATCCGAATTCAGTCAGTCAGCTACAACGTAGGACCAGGCACATATGTGCATCGGTCCAAATTGTCATACCTCATTAGCACAACAAGATGAACACCGGATTCATAGAAGTAGTTAATTCAATGGTGGTAATATAGAAAAGAAAAACTGCATATAAGGATATCCAAATTCATAAAAGTTTGATTGCCATTTACTTTGTAGCATAATTGATCACGACTAAAGTTTTCGATAATAGGATACATAAGTGAACAGTATATAGATATTGAAGACAATCACTTATTAAGCAATTTCATCTCACTGAAATATGTTTATGTTGTATCTTGTTATAATGCTCAACTATTTAAATCCTACTTGTACCTCAATAACTATTTCTGAAAACAATCAATCACATTTACATGGACATCTTAAAGTTTACGCAAACTACTACGTATTTTACCGCATATTATTATTGTTTATCGTTTCTTTCTCCTCTTTGTTTTTCTTGTGTTTATTTCTGCTCTATAGTTATTCACAACACAGTATGGAGAATTTTCTATTCAACCATTTTTATGTTCTGATTGTCAGCTAATCGATCATTCTATCAATTTGACATATCCTCCAAGTTATATTTTACCATCAAATGGCAGTGGACAATATTTTCGCTTAATATTTACACCATATCAAAATATATTTGAATTATTAAATCAGAATAAGGTGAACAATGAAAATACTATACATAGTCTATTATTAATACGAAATAATTTAACTTCAATAGAACCTTTATGGTTAGAACTTCATTTTGGTAGGATTGGTTTAACACTTGGCAAATTGTCAACTACAAAAACAATATCCAAACTGACAAAATCGATTAGCGCTTTCGTTAGTAAATTTGAAAATGATCACAGTAATAGTAGACATTCTATTTTACCTAATATTGATCTATATATTCGTAATGTACCACCTAGTAGTAGTAGCAGTAGTAGTGGTAGTAGTAGTAGTACCACTGATGGATTCACTCAATTGAAGGATAATTTAATTTCTTCATTCAAAATTGATCAAACACTTTATGATATTGACTTGGATTTTACTAGTCTATTCAATAACAGAGCAAAGAAGATTCACCAAGATTTATCATTAACATTCGAATTCACTGAAAAAACTATTGGAACATTTTGTAAGTAATTATTATGTTTTTCCTTAGTTCTATGTTGTTAATTTTTTTTTCTTATGTGTGTGAATTGTTCAAACACTTATTTCTTTTTCAAAGTATAATTCTAATTGCGAATTATTATGATCAAACGATATATTATTTGACAAGTCATTAGATCGTTGAAAAGATTTTAATTATTCATATTTTAACCGAAACGATAACCTATCACTGAATTTCATACCATTTTAATTAGATGTTAAGTGATTTCAAACAATTTGCAAAAACCTCTTAAAGTAGTTTTCATGTTAATTGTAACATTTATCAGTAAGGTGTATATCTGCAATTCTTAGGCAACTGATGCTGTCATAGGAAATTGAACACGTGTCATCTAGTAGAAACAGTCAAAGACATTAGCAGTAAGTTAATTAAACCGTGGTTGACTTGATTGTTCACACTGACCAGTTACTACATATTGATAGAAATCTTGTTATCTAGTCCCTGACCACTGATCGAATTCTGTTAAGTTGAAATATAGCCATCAATATAAATAGCTCAAAGGTTAGATGTTAGTTAGAGGAGACAAATAAACCCATGGCGTTGTAAAGTTGTAAACAAAATTAAATTAGGCAATATTCACAGTTGATTTACATGCTGAATAATTTCTTCGTATGATGGCCTTGAATAACTATATTAATATTTGTTCATTTTCATACATAGTTTGCCGAATTCGAGATTAGAAATTAGATCTTTGCATTCGACAGTTCACTTTTTGCTTTTCAAATCACCATTTGAATCTTAACTATAAATCCTATATATGCTTGTCCATTGTTACTATTGCCTATAGAGCGGTGAATTACTAGATAAAGTACTTAGCTATCATCCAGTGTGTTACGGATTTCAACACCGCCTCAATGTCTTCAGTTGGTGCAACCAATTATCATTGTTAGTCCTCACACAAACAGCGTAGCTCATAGCCGACTAGATGGAACTGTACTTTAGTCACATTCAGTAAATCCTTGACTAGTGACAATCGGGTTCTGTTGATTGACAAATCTTACGTTTGTTGTTTATCTAGGTAAATCTACGTTATGGTACACTAATTTCAGCATTCTAAATGAATAAAAACAGTTTACATGATGTCTCACGCCTAAAGTTTAATAAAATCATAAATATCCTCATCATAAAAAATGTCCACTCTGTTTCTGATGATACTCAGACTTTTACCGTTGTTATTTTTTTATTAGTATAATGAACATGTTTGATTTTTGTTATGTCATAATTGTAAACATTCACGATATTGACTGTCAGACTAATTTTTTCTAATTTTCAACTCTTATTAATACTTATTAAAACAAAATGCATTGAATACAAACTCACCTTACCTCACGGATTTCCATCTCCAGCGGTAAGGCCCTTTGAAGAATGGAGCTAACACACTGAAAACCTCCCACGAAAAGGCCGTGCGCGACCGGCCCCAAGCAGTTGTCCCTTGGGCTCTGCGGTCACGCTCCCAGGTCGTTAAGACCACCACTAATCCAACTTCCTTTTCAGGTTCCTCAAGAAGTACCCTTCCACGGTGTGGGCAGCCGGGAAGTGACACCAGCCCTCATACCCGTAACAGCACACAAGACCAAGTTGGTCACTTTCGAATCCTTCCTACATCTCCTAATACCTCTGTTATCTCCATGACTAACCCTTCTCACGTACCTTTATCACCTGGCACTGTTAGGGCAACGGTTCGAGTACGCGGAACGTTATTCCTGGTCTCCCGAAACCAAGCTGTAAACCACTTGTAGGAGCTTTCAACGTTCGAACACTATGCAAAATAGGACAACAGGCTTCCTTAGCTAGGACTTTAGAATATCGCGCCATCGATGTGTGCTTGCTCCCAAATGCCCCGGTACGGCCGAGAGTGAGGAGAGTCCGCTCTCCCTCTCCAAATGCTCTCACATGGCCACGCGTATATAGCCTCTGCCAGGGAAGTCCTACTCACTGCCTTCTCGTGGCAGGGGTGTTGTTCACGAAAATGAGAGGACGAAAAGCGAATGTCCGGAGCTTTAACCGGATTCCAAGCCAATGGTGCACATGGGCTCCAGTATCTTGAGGGAACAAATGGCGTATGAACCAATTGTTGGTCATCGGCTTCCATGGGACTGCATCTCCTTACGATGCTCCACTGCCTTGTGGATCAGACCTTCAGGTCGAGGGCTCGGGGAGTGGCCCCCTAAGAAAACCACCTGCTTCGGTTTGGGCACCCGGGCAGTATCACAGCTCTCACACATATCGAATGAGATTTGTGTGGCGCATATGTATTTGGTGCCTCCTTGTACCAATATCTATGTGTTAAAATAAAATAAATGAATAAATGTGTGCTGCGTCTCCAAAACGCGCATACAAGATCCGAGTAGCGTCATTCATTTGACCTCACCATGTCAAAATAAAGAACCAACTCGATTCACACTTCGTGTATCTGAAAGCCCTGATGCTGCTCCTCGTGGCCTCGCCGGCGTAGGTATAGCATTGAGTCGTAGGGTAGAACTGGTTCTCTTAGACTGGATCCCAGTAGACAGTCGTTTGTGCGCTGTCCGACTAAACGAAACAGTAAGGACTCTGAAAGATAGGGACACTCGTCGTTGCCTCTTCGTCGTCTCTGCCTATTCTCCCACTGACTGCAGCTCAGAAGATGTAAGAGATGAGTTTTACAGAAAGCTTTCCGACCTTCTCCGAAAAGCTAGGCGCTCTGATGTAGTAATAGTGGCTGGTGACTTTAATGCTCAAGTAGGTAAACTAAATGAAAGGGAAAGACACCTGGGTGGATCTTCTAGCGTCGTGGCTCAAAGAACAGATAATGGCGGCCGTCTGTTGCAGTTATGCTCAGATAACTGCCTGTTTCTTACAAATACTAACATTAAGCATAAGGAAAAACATCTTTTAACATGGCGACCCCCTAATTCGTCCCAACGTTGGACCCAAATAGATCACATCGCTATCAGCCACCGATGGAGGGGTTCGATAGAAGACTGTCACTCATTCTGGAGCACATGCTTAGATTCAGATCATGCTCTAGTGCGAGCGCGTATTTGTCTGTGTCTTACTGGACGTAGGAAAGATCCTGCAAGGAAACCTCTTAGGGCCTACTTAATGATAGTCAAGCTAAGAGTATATTTCAGGAACAACTAGGAAAACAGTTAGGCAGCCATGTATGTGATGCCCACCCCGATGCAGCATGGAATGATATCCGAAAAGCTGTGGAAACAGCAGTGATATCTGCTAGTACGGTAAACCATAAGGTTAAGGAGCAACACTGGATCTGAGCAGCCTCTACCGCACTGATAGATGCTCGAAAACTCATTCCATCTGTCTCTGAACATAACGATGAGCGGAGTCAGCTTAAGCGCAAGCTGATACGAAGCCTACTTAATGATCGCGAACAGTTGTGGGTAGCGAAAGCAAGAGAGGTGGAAAAGGCAGCGACAATAGGTAATAGCAGACAACTGTTCAGACTTGTTAAGGAAACCGGTATTAGGAACCCGACTGTTAGCGAAACAATCTCAGAGAAAGATGGACATATTATACATTCTCAATCCAGGAGATTGGATCGATGGGCAGAACACTTTAGGGATCAGTTCAACTGGCCTTCAGCCACACTTCGGTTTCCCACGATCTCCAGTCAACCTGAATGGCAAGTTAATGTAGGTCCTCCGACTCTTTACGAAGTTGAAAAAGCCATAGGAAATCTGAAGCGAGGGAGAGCAGCAAGCCCTGATAGGTTTATTCCTGAAATTTTTAAGGATGGCGGTCCAGTATTAGCAGTGAGATTAACTGAGGTCTTAGGTAGAATTTGGGAACTGGAAGTAATCCCATCTGACAGATCTCAATCACTGATTGTGCCAGTCTATAAGAAAGGACAAAAGTCCTCTTGTGACAATCACAGAGGAATCATTTTGACTAATATAGTGTCTAAAATATTAGCCTCAATATTACTTCGACGCCTAACTAAAGTTCGTGAAGAGCAGACTAGAGTTAACCAGGCTAGTTTCCGACCTGGACGTGGTTGTATAGACCAGATGTTCACACTACGTCAGGTCCTAGAACATAGACACACATTCAGACACCCCACAATCGTAGTATTTGTCGACCTTGAGACGGCATTCAACTCTGTTGGTCGTGAGGTTCTATGGCAGTGTTTGTCACTGAAAGGAGTACCAAAGAAATACATTATCCTTGTAAAGGCTCTCTACTCGAACACAACTGGTCGAGTGAGAGCTTACGGCGAACTGTCATCAGAATTGATTACCTCTAGTGGTGTTCGTCAGGGCTGTCCACTCTCTCCATTCTTGTTTAACTTTGTCATTGACGTGCTTTTAGAGATGACACTTTCCTCATCTAAATTCGCAGGGTTTGAACTTCTACCGGGATATTCACTTTTTGACCTACAATATGACGATGACATAGTTCTATTTGGTGAAGACGCTGACAAAATGCAGAGTCTTCTGACCACTCTGAGCAACAATGCAAGCATGTTCGGGATGCGATTCTGCCTCTCGAAGTGCAAAATGTTACTTCAGGATTGATTGGGTTGCATCGACACCCGAACTAATGATAGGGAGTGAAGTAGTTGAGTGTGTTGGCCGCTTCACTTATCTGGGAAGTCTCATCAGCCCCTGTGGTCTGGTGTGTGACGAAATCTCAGCACGGATACAGAAGGTTCGACTAGCTTTTGTCAACTTGCGTCATTTATGGCGTAGGCGAGATATCCGTCTATCGATCAAATGACGTGTTTACTGTGCAGCAGTTCGTTCCGTCCTACTTTATGACAGTGAAACGTGGCCGGTAAGAGTAGAGAATATCCGTAGGTTACTAGTATTCGATCATAGGTGTCTTCGAAACATTGCTTGTATATCCTGGGACCACCGGATAGGAAACGGGTACTAGGTAAGGATGACAAATCCATTGATGAAGTAGTGAAACTTCATGAGTTGAGATGGCTGGGACACGTGTTACGTATGCCCAACGACCGACTGCCTCGACGTGCAATGTTCAGTGGTATGGGAGTGGGTTGGAAGGAAGCTAGGGGCGGCCAGACCAAAACATGGCACAAGTTCATGAAGTCATTTTACAAGTGGACTGAGTCATGTTGGTAGGTGTAGATAACCTGGTTGGGGACCGCGGTGTGATAGCAACTGATGGTCAGAAACCCTAAATGACATGGCTCAGAATTGTTTGCAATGGTGCAGGTACATCAACTCTTTATGTTCTCCCAAATTCTAATCTTCTGAATTTGTCATGTCCCTTGTGTTCTCTTTCCAAATTATTTTCACTGAATTATAATCCTTGAATAACATCTTGAAACCCTAATGTTTCCGATTACTGCTTATACTTTTACTACCTCCACTACTATGGGATTTGAATGGACAACTGCATCTCTGTGCTAATGTGGTGTGGCAACGCGAACTGATGTACGTACGTACGAAGTTCTACGTTGTTACTGGCTGACTGACTGACTGACTGACAACTAACGTTTTATTTAAACATAATAGGTTTAACCACTTGACTTTCAGTCGTTATGTCGCAAACTTCGAAATTCGCATCACATAATTTAATTTCAAAAACTAATTGGTATCACTAACCTTCATTCAAAAATTTCTCTCTAATCTGAGTTCATTTAAATGAAGTTAGTAAATGGTCTATATTACTTAAAGTTTATCATTGAGAATATAAGTGATATATTGTTTTTACTGGTTATAAAATATTATAACATTCTGGAAACTCTTAGAAAATGTACAAACATTTTTTAATGATTTGTACAATTTAATTAATTACATTTGTAAACAGTACACATATATTGATTTCTGAAAATTACTAAAAACTTCTTCCTATTAAAGGTGTACGATTTAAGTATTTTTTTTAATAACTGTGGGTATCGGATTTTCTGACTAATATAATCATCACTGAGTTTTCAATACAATTTTCTAATTGATAATAGTTTAATTAACTTTCTTTTCAATAACTTCTAAATTTATCAAATGTTCTTTCTCCTCAAGGTGAACTTCCTAAAGCAAAATCGACAGATAAGTTACCTTCTCCACTTCAATCTAAGCATCAGAAACAATCAAGTGATTCTAATCATTTTGCTGATATTGACAATCATCAAGGTTTATTAACAACTCTTTCATTACGACGACGATTAGTACTACTTAATGCTGGACAAGTTACGTTGAGTATATTTATGCTAAGCCTTTTACCATCAATGAATGTTAGACAGAAATTCACTGAAAACTTTCCTCTAACTAATAATTCATCAATATCTACATCTTATTCTTGGTTATATTCACATGTATCATGTAATTTAAATGGTTTTAATTAGATCCATGTATACTACCACCTACAACAATGACAACAGCAAAGATGATAAGTATTAATGATTCTGATGAAAATAATAGTTCTAATATTGTTACACTTCTACCAGGTCAACAGATTATCATTGAACTACGACATTATCCAGATTTTACGCATACTTTTTTGACAGCAGATTTAATTATTCAGTTATATCCAACATTATTTCAATCGAATATTCTCCAATGGTGGGATTTACAACAATCAAACAAGACAGATGACAGTCATACCTTATTAATTGATCTACCCAAGATTTCACTACAAGCTAGTTTTAATGCAAATCTTTTAGGTTCATGTCTTAGTTTATTGCCTAGACCATCAATTGAATCATTTCTATCGTAAGTGGAATTTATATACTACAATAATACTTAGTATAAACTCGTATATGTTTCTTCCTCCATAGTTAATTAGTATTTCTGTTTGTTTTCTGATTAAATGTGTTTAAGAGCTGTGTTTCATTGATTTCCTGATAATGACTACTCAGACTGGAATATAGCGATTCTACATTAGTTCTGTAAAACGCATTACTTAATGCCTATGAAACACAAATTTTGAAGATCGAAGATGAACTTAGGTTTTCAGTAATACGTAATATATACATTCACTAGATTATTTACGTACAGTCAAACTAACGAGTGAGTAGTACTGATGTTAGGCGTAAAGTACATGGCTATGAACCCACATCAAATGGAGGGATTAAAACATGTTACAAATTCCCAGCCACTATTAAGCTCGATGGACTGCAACCTGTTGTGATATTCATTTCCATAGTGTTCTGTGGGTGCAACTACTAATCATCTATGGTTTCTAGTGGGTTTATAGTTAACCTAGCTTTGTTTGACGTTTGGTTGATACAATTGTTCCATACATTAGCGTGATTAAAACTCAGGTAAGTAGTTCCCCGACCGTTGTTGCTACCTTGACGTGGTGGTCGGGCTTGCCTATCGTGATGAAGCAACCGAGCTATACTGGCTGGAACAACCGTTCCTCAAGGTCCTACCATGTCAGACAGGTCGGTTGAAGAGCGGTAAGACTAAAAGCAACAAACCCAAGGTCCGAAGGCGAAGTCGTACTGCTGGCTGTACAGAGGTGTGACAGCAGTAAGGTGTTTCCTTCAGACAACCAGCATGACAGCGATGCTGCCTTCCCACAAGGAGGGGTGGGGTTAGAAAAGGTCGACCCTAAAAATGCACACCTCACCTTATCCCACGGATATCCGTCTCCGGCGGTAAGGCCCTTTGAAGAACGGAGCTAACACATTAAAAACCTTCCACGAAAAGGCCGTGCGCGACCGGCCCCAAGCAGTTGTCCCTTGGGCACTGCGGTCACGCTCCCAGGTCGTTAAGACCACCTCTAATCCAATTTCCTTTTCAGGTACCTTCAGAACAACCCTTCCTCGGTGTGGGCAACCGGGAAGTGATAACCGCCCTCATACCTCTAACAGCACTCGAGACCACTGTATTCATAATCAACCTCTTTCTTCGATTCCTATCATTCCTCCTACATCGACTTTCAACTCTAAACTCCTCTTTCGGCTTCCTCCTCAAGTGTCACCATAGCCAACGATCCTAGTGCGCAAAACACTGTCCCTGGTCTACTGAAACCTCGCTCCAAACTACACATTGGAGCCTTCAACGTAAGAACCCTATGTCAAATCGGTCAGCAGGCTTCCTTGGCTAAAACCCTAGAGTCTTTTTCCATTGATGTATGCTGTGTCTCCGAAACACGCATACAGGATTCCAGTGTGGTCATTCACCTGACCTCACCTCGGCAAAACGGAGAGCCAACGAGATACACCCTCCGTGTATATAGCAACCATTGGCTAGTCCTCGTAGACTGACTGGGGTAGGCATAACACTAAATACGAGGGAGGAACAAGCACTATTAGAATGGACCTCCTTTAACAGTCGCGTATGTGCTGTTCGGCTAAACGGCTCCATAAGAACTTGGAAGGACAGAGACACACGTCGTTGCCTTTTTGTCGTTTCTGCCTACGCTCCCACTGACTGCAGCTCAGATGAAGTGAAAGATGAATTTTACAGAAAGCTTCCGAACTTCTTCAGAAAGCTAAACGCTCAGACATAGTACTCGTAGGGTGACTTTAATGCTCAGATAGGTAGTTTAAACCAAACAGAAAGGCATTTAGGTGGATATTTTAGTATTCCGGCACAGCGAACAGATAATGGTGATCGTCTGCTGCAACTGTGCTCAGACAATCGTTTATTTTTAGCAAACACAAATTTTAAGCATAAGGAGAGACATCGTCTAACATGGCGACCCCCTACACCAAACCAACGATGGACTCAAATAGACCATATTGCCATCAGTCATCGTTGGAGAGGGTCGGTAGAAGATTGTCGCTCATTCTGGAGTACCTGCTTGGACTCCGACCATGCCCTAATACGGGCACGCATCTGCTTGCGCCTCACTGGACGCAAAAAAGCCACATTAAAAAGACCCATTAGAACTGAGTTGAGTAACGAGAAAACCAAAAGTAGGTTCCAGGAACAACTGAGGTCACACTTAGGTAGTTGTGAAGACGAGGCTGACCCAGATGTTGCTTGGAAGACATACAAGCAGCTGTGGAAACAGCAGTGACATCTATTAGTGACTTAAACCACAGAGTTACAAAGAACCAGTGGATTTCTTCAAGGTCTATCACACTGATGGATTCTCGCAAACTCGTCCCATCAGGTTCCGAACATGATGAAGAGCGACAACAAATCAGATCTAGGTTAAGAAAAAGTCTAAGGAACGACCGTGAGCAGTGGTGGGCAACGAAAGCAAAAGAGATGGAAAAGGCGGCGACTATAGGGAACACAAGACAGCTTTACAGACTAATAAAAGAAACTGGAATTAATAAGTCAAGTGTAAGTGAGATTATTTCGGAAAAAGACGATACTCTCATCTGCTCCCAGTCCAGACGTTTAGAACGATGGGCGGAACATTTTAGAGAACAGTTCAGCTGGCCTTCAGCTACTCTACAACTACCCTCCATTCCCAGACAGTGTGAATGGAACATTGAAGTAGGTCCCCCAACTCTTGCTGAAGTTCAAAAGGCTATAGTTAATCTGAAACGAGGAAGGGCAGCTGGTCCAGATGGACTGGCTCCAGAAGTCTTTAAGGATGGTGGTCCAATTTTAGCGATTAGGTTGACTAATATTTTAGCTAAAATCTGGGAGTTAGACGTTATCCCATCTGACTGGTCGCAATCACTTATCGTCCCAATATATAAGAAAGGGTCAAAATCATCCTGTGACAACCACAGAGGGATTAGTTTAACAAACATAGTATCTAAAATACTGGCCTCGATAATTATCAGACGCCTAACTAAGACTCGTGAACTGCAAACACGAGAGAACCAAGCTGGCTTTAGACCTGGTCGTGGCTGCATCGACCACATATTCACCATTCGTCAGGTTCTAGAACACAGGCATACTTATCGGCGTCCGACAATGGTGGTCTTTCTTGACTTAAAAGCAGCATTTGACTCTGTAGACCGCGAGATTCTGTGGCAGTGTCTGTCATTGAAAGGCGTACCTCAGAAGTACATAAACCTTGTGAAGGCTCTTTACTCGAACACTACTAGTCGAGTCAGGGCTTATGGCGAACTGTCATCTACTTTTGCAACCTCAAGTGGTGTCCGTCAAGGCTGTCCACTTTCTCCATTTTTGTTTAACTTCATCATAGACCTATTGATGGAAATAACACTCTCGTCGACTGAATTCTCGGGTATTGATCTCCTTCCAGGAGGTCCACTTATCGACTTAGAATACGCAGATGACATAGTCCTGTTTGGTGAAGACGCTGACAAAATGCAGAGTCTTCTGGTAGCACTAAGCAACAATGCCAGAATGTTTGGGATGCGCTTCTCTCCCTCTAAATGCAAGTTGTTGCTTCAGGACTGGTCTGCGTCAACACCTGAACTAAGGATAGGGAGTGAAGTAGTCGAACGCGTTGACAACTTCACTTATCTTGGAAGTCTGATCAGCCCTAATGGGTTGGTGTCTGACGAAATCTCAGCACGGATTCGAAAAGCTCGTTTGGCTTTTGCCAACTTACGTCACCTTTGGCGGAGGCGAGATATCCGTCTATCAATAAAAGGACGAGTATACTGCGCGGCAGTCCGTTCTGTTTTAATTTACGGCAGCGAAACATGGCCTTAAGAGTAGAAGACACCCGTAAGCTACTAGTATTTGACCACAGATGCCTTAGAAATATTGCTGGCATCTGCTGGGATCACCGGGTAAGTAATAGTGAGGTTAGACGCAGGGTATTAGGAAATGATGGTAAATCAGTTGATGAGGTTATGAATCTTCATCGACTGAGATGGTTGGGCCACGTGTTACGTATGCCTGAACACCGATTACCACGACGTGCAATGCTAACCGGTATTGGAGATGGTTGGAAGAAAGTTAGGGGCGGCCAAACCAAAACGTGGCATCAGTGCTTGAAGTCACTAACTTCTAGTCTGAGCCATGTTGGTAGATGCAGACTACTTGGTTGGGGTCCGCGTGACTTTCGTAACCAATGGTTGGAGACTCTTGGTGACATGGCTCAGAATCGATCACAATGGCGTCGGTGTATACACTCCCTGTCTTCCCTTAAACTAAGAGATTAAAATCACTTCATATCTTTCTTTCTACGAACCAATTCTTTCTTCTTGTACTATATCTCTATATGCAATCTTCCTCTTATTTATTACCACCTTTGACCTAACCACTGCTATGAATCCGGTGTTCATCTTGTTGTGCTGATGCGGTATGGCAACCTGGACCGATGCATACATGTGCCTGGTCCTACGTTGTAGCTGACTGACTGACTAAGTAGTTCAGACCTTCTGGATTTGATTGATATGTAGCATACTTGAGTTGCTGAGGGATTATTGTCAATAGTGTGTTGGGGATCACCGTTATTACTAACTAGATTTGTGCATAAGGCGGTCTCCGGAATTCAATTTGTAGTTATTAAGTCTCTATACCCCCCTCACACACACACACCTACCTAAAAATAACTCTCTTCTATCATTTTCATTTAGGCCTCCAGTTTATCAGAGTACACTGTCAAGATCATTCACAAACCGATAACAGTCAACTTTGATTCCATTCTTATTGAAATTTTTTGGAGCATCTGCAGAAATAGCATAACGGTGTCATCACTAACGAGACTGAAACTCAACGACACAATGTCCTGACATAAATTCAGGATCTAAGCGACGACTAGGAGTGAATGCATCTGCGTTATTGCGACTGATTCTGAGCCATTTCACCCAACATCTTCACCCATTGGCCGTGATAATTGTGTGGACCTCAATCAGGTAGTTTGGACCTCCAAGCATGACTCAGACTAACAGTTAAAGACTTCATGGAACTGTTATCGCCGTTTGGTTTCGTTTCTCTAAGTTTTCTTCTAACCTACTCCCACACCAGCTAATATTGATTATCGAGATAGGCGTTTAAAAACATTAAGGATTATAACGCTTACTAAACATATCTTGACCGCTCAATAATAATGATTCATATTAATCGTTACCCAATTAGTATTCACATATTCCTAGTTCACGACTGAAAACTTAGGTTTGGTTGTCGAATCCTAATGACGATAAAATCATATGAAAGCACATTGAATATATGATACTGCTGTCATCTTTATTTATTATCGCTATAGCTGTTCTTCTGAATAATGTATATTGACTGATCGAATGGAGCAAAATATTTATACGTGTTATCTTCATTTCTTTTAGTTACCTAACTAATATTTACGAGTGATGAAAGTGCATTAAAACATCTCGACCTACTGTTGGGACACAGCAACTTCAATTGATGTACATTTGTCCCTAGCTTTATGTCGTTTATGGCTGAATTACTTATTTTTTTTCAACCAAATAAATTTTAACCGTTTAATATATTTATATTCAAAAAAATTAACACCACATACTGATTTGGATTAAATAACCAGGAAAACCCAGAGCATACTAAATGATTGTTTCGTGCTAGTACAAGACTTCTCAATAGTGTGCAAAAATGAACATGCCGATGATCGAATCTAGAACCTCCAGATCTTATAGCGAGTGTTGGTTTTAAGCCGATAGATCAGTATTCACATTTCCATCTTCAACCCAATGCTACATAGTTTTCACTTATTGTTTTGTTGAATTTATTATTGTTATCCAAACTATCTTCGAAATTTTTTTATTGAGATCATGAACCGATTGGTGTTAGACCACCATTGAAAACCTGGAAGCACTGGACGGCCGTTTTGTCCTATTGTGGGACTACTCAGCAGTGCGCATCCACGATTTCGCTCGCGGGATTCGAACCCAGGGCCTTCAGTCTGGCGCGCGAGCGCTTAACCTACTGGACCACTGAGCCGGCATCTAATGGTGTTAATGTCTAACCTCAACCAATCCACGAAGTTGCGCGACCATCTTCCATTGTACTGAGATAGACACCTGTTTCTCCCCGACACGGATTAGCTCACTGGTCACGGCTTCTCACCAGAACTCTTCGGATTGGACTTTTTCGTTAATATTTATCATTAATGTTTAAAAACCTATTATTTCTGCAAAGCTCTTATTAACTGGCATTTTGTAAATCAATCAAAATTAGAACTTGTTTGTCTGGATGTCTGGAAATTTCGAATTAGTAGCTTGTCAGTTAATCGCAGGAATTAATCAATATCGATTATGGAAACGAGATGTAGGTTACAAAGTTAAAAATTACGATCATCGTTTCACTCATATGCTTTTTGCATACTGTTATTTAGGTCAACAGCGTGACTAGGTTTTTCTACCCATTTCATATGTCTTAGCTTTTATCCTATTGGCAAGTAATGTTGGGGGTGATGAGTCATTTATTTTAACCTTAATACTGATTGGTAAGATCATAAAATGGGATGAGAGCTGTCTCAGTCATTCAATCATTTTATCAGATTTGGAGTGGGTTTTTGCTAAATAACACCGTGTTTCCCGTGGGGCTGTATTAGACTGTACTTACGACACTAACTGTGTGTACGAACTTTGCTCTGCCTATTGATCGGGATCAATCGATTAGTTGTCCGTATCACATCAAATACATAATTGCTTAATTATGTTGATTTAGTTTACTCAAATTGTTTTACTACTTTAAATAGGATGACGGTCTTTCTATTCTATTTATTCAATATCACTGTAATACTTATCATATCATATGGAGATGCTAAAGAATTATATACACGTCATATTAAATTACGACATTACATAGATGGACTACCGGAAAATGTACTTTCAGATTCTTCAAAGCGATTTAATTTGAATCAACCAAATGATAAATTATGTATCAATTGTTGTACAAACGATAAAAACTTATGTAATCCTTCCACTCGAGAGTTAATTACCACATCCAATTCTCAATTATCATATTCGACAATTACAACACCAAGTACTTCTATACTAATGAAAAAGCAATTAACAAATAATACTATTGAAAATGATGAAATTTCTGCATTAAATTCTACTATAACAGGAACAAAACTTAAATGGAAAGATAAAATTAATTCAGATGAACAAAAATTAAAACGTCAAATGTTATCAACAAGATCAAATTGGATGAATTATTTCCAATGGTTATTAGGATTATTATTTATTATTAAATATATTAGTTTACATTGGATTTTAATTATCATTAAATATCCATATAAAACAGTAAAAATGTATATTATATATTTGGGAAAATTCAAGGATTGGTTAATATCAAGCTTAAATTTACATTCATTTTATTATGGTTATTTTCGTTGTATTCGTCAATCGTCATCAGATATTATAAATGTTACTAATGCTAATATACAATCAACTCCATTATTAAATCGACTCTCATCAAATGATACAATGATAATCAATAAAAAAAATTTAGTAAGTTAGATTTGTTTATTTATCTGATTAGAATTATTGTTGTGTACTGGAATGATAATTAATGTGGTTGCTGAAATAGTTGAATTCGATTATGAGACTTGATGGGAAATATGGTCGTTAAATAGGCTATAAAATTTTATCGACTAGTTTACGAAATTCCAATGTATCTCTTTTGAGTTTTGCTAAATGTATCTCAAACTCAATTTTATTAATCTTAGAATAATAGCACGTGTGATTTAGTTGTTAGTTAGAAATAAGTCTCATTCACTAAAACCAGCATTCTTTTAAATCCACTTCATTTATTTTTGATAATTAAACAGGATACATTTTCACTAAATTTGAATGTCACTTAACAGTTTATGAAAGTGATTTTCGAATCACATCTTTTGAAGAACTATTGAGAATCATGAAGACACTAGATGTGTTTCGAAACTACCCGTTAGTGTACGCCCAAAACCGTGAACTGTCAGTTACACGAAGCTTTTATAAGAATTCATGATTTTCACTAGTCCCATAGCTGCTGCCAATTCATGGTGGTAATCGTTGTTTTTAAATTACACTTAGCATCTACAAAAACACTATCTTCCAAGTCAATGGACTTTTAATTTTTTTCGTCAAGCCTTACTGGAAATTTATCTGTAACGTCCGATCTATGTCGGGCAACTTGACTGAGTATTCGTATGCACTCGAAACTTTTGATTATATGCGTATTTTAAATTAATATCATGAATGGATCAATGTTAGACCACCATTGAAAACCTGGAAGCACTGGACGGCCGCCTCGTTCTAGTATGGGACTCCTCAGCAGTGCACATCCGCATGCAGGACTCGAACCCAGGACCTTCGGTCTCCGTTTAACCTCCAGACCACTGAGCCGGCATCCAATGGTGTTAATGTCTAACCTCAACCAATCCACGAGTCCTGCATGCGGGATCGCGGATGTGCACTGCTGAGGAGTCCCACACTAGAACGAAGCGGCCGTACAGTGCTTCCAGGTTTTCAATGGTGGTCTAACATTGATCTATTCATGATATCAATTTAAACTCAACAATCTCCACAACCCCATACTGATATACGCTTATTTATTAAATAAAGTTGGTTGGGGTCAAACTAAATGTCATGTCACATGTAGTGGAACAAAAATGTTATTTTTAACCAAATCATTAGAAGATAACTTTGAGCATGAAAATGTATCACGCTTTTAAGTGAACAATGTATGTGATTGGAGTTATTGAAATGAATAGTCATCCTATGCTTCAGGTCAAGTTATTATACTAGGTCAACACGGCACATTAGAATTAACAAGACTAATAACTATTCAAGTTAATAGTGTATCAGTGACAGTGATTTGGAATTTTGTACAAGGAAAAATGATTACAGTTAAATACAGATAACACATTTCAATTCCAGTTATTGTTTTTATAAAAACCATTATTATAGTTTGAATTTCACTCTCATCATTATAATCGTGAAGTTGCCATTCAATAAGAATGATTATAAAAGTGACAATAACATAAAATCTTATATAGAAGTTTATAAATTCATATAACTTTGTTTATCAAAAAGTCCGAGAGAAAGAAATCAATGAAAATATTACCAATTAACCAACAGATGTGTAGTACTCATGATTCAAGCGGAGGATGTTTGTCTTTTTCACCGAGGTGATCTCGAGTACTTTTAAAGGTATGAAGTCGGTTATCACTTCCCAGTTTCCCATACTGTGGAAGGATACTTCCGGAGGAGTGACTGAACAACAAACAGTAAGGGTTGATCTTGAGTACCTGGAGCAACTGCTTGGCACTAGTCAAACATCCTTTTTATGAATAGTTCTTGATGTATTGGTTTTGTACTTTTAAGGTCTTACTTCCGAAGATGAGAATCCATGTGGTGTGCTATTTTCAGTACTGATGTTTTTTATCCCCCCTTTCGTTATGATAAGGCAGCAACGTTGCAGATACTAGTTATTTGAAAGCAGCCTTACTGCAGTTACATCCTTGTTCAATTAGCAATGAAAGAGCTATTCTCGAGCTATAAGTCTGTTCCTATTCTTACCGTTCCCCAACCAACTCGCTTTATATGGTAAAATCTAAAAGAAGGCATTCCAGTCATTATTTCTTGATCGGGTCATCACGATATGGAAGCCTGACTACCACGCCAAGGTAAAAGCTTGTGAGAATAACAACAGAAATAAACATATACCTAAGACACAAATCAGAAAGGAAAGTAGTCAAAGATTCATAACACGTTCGGGAATTAAATGAAAAATGGGTGCATCAGCATCACTGTGTTTGATTTCGAGCCACGTCATTAACAGGTAATCACTGACTTCTCTAATCTCGAAGACTTTGTCCGACTGGTTTGTACCTCGGTTCACGTCTTAGGTCACAATCAACAAATTCATGAATTGACGCCATATATTTGTCGGCCCTTTTTAATTTTTTCCCCGACTTTATTATATTCTAGCTAATATTTTATACATTAATAAATGATGTGGTTGGAAGTTCACAATTTTATCCACTGTTATATAATCTGCATACTCTAGTGCTATCGTAAAGTTTCTTAAAGTGATATATACTCCAGGAAAATCGAACGTAATTCGAATCACACCAATTAATCATTTACTTAGTGAAAAAAGTGGACGCATACTTGCTATTTTTCAATATAATACTGACATAGATTCCCTCATGATTGTGAATTTAATTCTGTCACTCAAGCTTAATATACTGATGTGATATACTTTTTTTCCACATGAGTCTAAAATTTTCACTGTTTATTACAATGTCTTATTTGATGCAAAACACACTTTTCAGTTAAGTTAGTAACATTTTAAGCATACAGTAAGCTAATTCAGTCACATTAGTTACTTGTACAAACTGATTTTCATGAGTTACATTCGAATACGCATTACAGGACTTAAAAATTGAAGTACAATAGTACAGTTTATTCCCTATCAGATTATTTATTTCATAGTTCTGACGAAAAATATCTAGACTACAAGTGGACCTTTCCTATATTAAATCACTAGCGCTTAAGCAACCACAGATGACTTTTAATATACATTAATATTGATTTTTTTTTCTATAATAAGTTTAGTAATATCATAATATAAGTCAACTTTATAATGATACAATTTTCATGATGAAGTTTCGACTGTATTATTATTAATGTTTATTTCGTTTTTGTAAAAAAACACTTTTTAGTTCGGCTTATCGAAACAATCATCAGCTGATGAAATTAAAAATCAGAAAGCATCTTTGTAAGTGAATACTATCTTTCCTATTGATCAATGATAATATTATTGTTAATATGTAATAATAATGAAGCAATTACCTAATCAATAGTCAATCAGTCACAACGTAGAACCTGGTACGTATGTACATCGGTTCAAATTGACATACACCATTAGCACAGTAGAATGAAATTTTCAGGTTTAATCCTAGAATAGTAGAGGTAGTAACAGTATCAGAGGTAATAGGAAAGATTAAACATTGGATATACAATTCAAGAAAATACAAATTAGTGAAATGAATAAAGGTATGAGGAATTCAGAAACTTAGAATCTAGGGGAAGGCAGTGATTGGATGCACCTGCATCGTTGCAAACGATTTTAAGCCATGTCCTTCAAAGTCTCTAATCATTGGTTACCGTAATCACACGGACCCCAACCAAGTAGTCTACACCTGACATGGATCATTCCAATCCTCAATGACTTCATGCCTTGATGCCATGTTTTGATTTGAGCGCCCCTACCTTCCAAAATACTTTCACCAGTCAACATCGACCGTCTAGGTATTATTACTACTATCAATATTATTGTTTAAACACATAAACACTGGTACAAGGAGGCACCAAATATATATGCGCCACACAAATTGTTAGGTTTGTGTGAGGGCTGGAATATTGCCCTTGCTCCCAAACCGTAGAGCTAGGCAGTGGTTGAGCATACGTAACACATGTTCCGACCACTTCAGTTGATGATGATTCACTACCTCATCAACTGATTTTCTATATTGACTTGATACCCCGTACTTAAAATCGCCATTGTTCACTTGATGGTCCCAAAATACACAAGCGACTCCTAGAAGACACCTATGATCGAATACCACTGACCTGGAAATACCCTTTATTCTTAAGGACAATATTTCACACCCATAAAGTGAAAATAAGCGAACTGTTCCGCAGTAAACTCGCCCTTTATTTGAAAGATGTATATCTCACCTACGCCACATGTGACGCAGGTTGATAAAGGCCAATCAGGCTTTTTGTATTCGTGCCGAGATTTCGCCAGACAACAGGCCGTCAATAATGATGAGGCTCCCAAGATAAGCGGAGTGGTCGATACGTTCAACTGCTTATCTCCTTATCATCAATTCAGGCGATGACTCAAGGCAGTCCTTAGGCGACATTTTACACTTGAAGAGAGAGAACCGCATTCCAAACATGCTTGCATTGTTGCTCAAGGCGGTCACATTACTGTATTTTGTCGGAATGTTCATCAAACAAAACTATACTATCTGCGTATTATAAGTCAACAAGTGAATCTCCTGGAAGATCAACACCTAAAAAGTCTGGCGATGAAAGTATTATCTCCAAAAGCATATCTAGGAAAAATTTACGTAAAAACGGGGAAAGCGGACAACCCTGACGAGCATAACGTATTTATTTATTTATTTGAACACATAAATATTGGTACAAGAGGGCACCAAATATATATGCGCCACACAAAACAATGAGAATTCGAAGAGAAAAAAAAGAAGGTAAGGAGCGTAAAAAAAGGAACATCAACGAACAGATTAGTGTAAGGTAGTGTGATAATAATAATGAGGGAAACGAAAAGGTACAACCAGAAGAATTCCTTCACTTAAGGAAGATACAACCATTTTTTATAAAGAAAGTAAAAGAAGGTTACAGCACGATCGCCACCGGCTTCTATTCCGAGCCATATCTGATAACGTCTCTAGCCACACTGTGTTTCATTATCTCTCGGACCCCAACCAGGGAGTCGTGAAGGACCAACACAAGCCAGTCCACCTCCGCTTTTTCCAACCAATCCCAGCGTCGGCAAATAATGCACGACGTGGAATTCTCTGGGACGAAATTCGTAGAACATGTCCAACCCACCGAAGTCGGTGTTTCAAGATGGTGACACCGATTGCATTGTCGTCTCTGTGCCCGAACACACGATGCCGAACCTCTGCATTACTGACATGGTGTTGCCACTGGATGTCAGCAATCCTTTGGAGACAACGATGATAGAACACAGAGAGTTGTCTAACGTCCTCAACTCGGAGGCCATGTTTCACAAGCATAGAGCAAAACTGCTCTCACCACTGCGTTGTAGATCCGACCTTTTACAGCCAGACTAACATCACGAAGACGCCAAAGATGGCCCAGATTGGCATAAGCCGCTCTGGCTTTCACTATACGTGCATTAATCTGATCACCCACACCCCCATCAGCACTTATGCAGCTACCTAGATACACGAACTTCTCGACTATTTCCATCTGCTCACCATCCAGGGTGAGTACAGGATTAGAATCCTGCCAGTCTTATAGAAGTACTTTGCACTTCGAAGGTGCAAAGCACATACCATACCTACGGACACTGATTGCCAACTGATTAAGTGCGGATTGCATGCCTTGGGCATTATCACACAGTAAGACATTATCATCCGCTTACTCAGGGTCGAGAAGTCTTTCTCCAGGCAACAGATCTACACTGCCATTACTTACATCCATCAAAGCTTTTTCTAAGACTTCATTGATGGCAAAGTCGGGGAGGAATGGTGGGATTGGGAAACCCTGCCTAACCCCATTGCTCGAATGGAACAATGGAGAGAGGTGGTTGTATGCTCTCACTCTGCCTGAGGTGTTTGTATATAGGGCTTTTAGGATGCTAATAAACTTCTCAGGCACACCCTTCTTCAATAGACAATCCCAGAGAACAGTTCTGTCCAACGAATCGAAGGCAGCCCTGATGTCAAGAAACACTACGATGGTTGGCCTTTGATAAGTATGGCGGTGTTCTAACATTTGGCGGAGGGTAAAGATATGATCAATACATCCTCGACCGGAACGAAAACCAGCCTGCTCCTCGCGAGTCAATCTTTCTCGGGTTTTGAACAACCTACGAAGAATGACGGAAGCCAATAGCTTGGACGCAATCGGAAGTAGACTTATCCCCCGATAGTTGTTACAAGAACGACGTGAACCCTTTTTAAATATAGGGACAACTATCGACTCATTCCATGACGTTGGCACACTCTCTAGCTCCCAGACCTTTGTAAACAACACAGTCAGTTCCTATGCCAGAAAGTCACCACCATCTTTAAAAAGAGCCGGAGGTAAGTCATCTGGGCCAGGTAATTTGTGGCGCTCCAAGAGTTGGAGTTCCTTGCGGACTTCTGCCTCATTTGGTGGATCAGTCGTCACCGGCCATGGAGGGCAGGACAGAAATGTGACACATGGCTCTCCATTTTCTAGGTGCTTCTGAGGAACTTCTATTCAACACTGATTGGATTAAATGTTTCCCAGCGTTTTCAGGACCCCTTTGTATTTTTTCGAGAAATACTTTGGATCTCTCCAACAAGTTATTAAGTTAAATCAACGTGATTATAGTTACAATCTATCACTTCATGGTAATTTCCCAATTTAAATGCGTACTGTTAAAATTAGTCTAATACAAAGGTTGGTTCGAAGACATTTACTTTAAAATGGAAGTCAAGTAAGACTCCTTGTATATCTTGTGTTTTTAAATCATTTTATTATCTACCGCATTATAAAGCTAAATGATCCTCTTGCTAATTATGTAAATAACGGATAATGAATCATATGTTTCTATAGTGTTATTCATTAACTTCAAGGTGATTTTCTACATGGTTTATGTATCATTTACAGATAGAAATCTATCACTTTCAAATTGTTTCTTTCAAAACTGAAAGACAATATCGAAACTAGGAGTAGTTTTAAGTTTAAAAGACTGAACTAAAATGGTCAACAAAGGATTTTTCAGTTATTTATTAATTGATTTGATGTAAACTTACGCTAAACTATCCCTAGAATGGATTAATCTGTGTTTCTCGAATACGGTAATTCGCTTTGGTTTGTATTAACTGATGTTGAACTTGACTAGTTATTCCACAACTACAATAAAACTGTCCCATTATTAGTATGTTTTTTATTTGTTATCTTGTTAAAGATGAAGATGATCTTCAAATTTATCGTGTTGTTGTGAATACCTCTTTCATTTTAGGAAATCATTCTCAAAAAACTTGACAAAATTAACTAATCAAACATCAGACAAAGCGGGTACATCACGAGTAAATCGTAAAAAGAAAACAATGGTCCCATTAGTTGAAATCTCAAAGCCATCAGGATTCAATGCTAATGCATCAGATGATCATTCCAACTTATCAAATCGTTCTCGTTTTACAAAAATCGAATCTGCGTCACCACCGCCACCAGCAGCAGCACCTGCAACATTAACGACGGCAGTCAATAAAGATGCTTCGCCACCGCGTATGGCAGAAGCTGATATTGTTGCCGCTGTTCAGGCGTCTATTCGACTAACTGAAGATGTCAATAATAATCATCATCACGAAATACGTCGGAAACAAGCCCAACGTATCTCTTCACGTAAAAAGTGTTATAACTCTTCCTCACCATCCTCTGCATCTGGACCTGATGTGGATGATGACAATAATAAGAGTAAGCTAGATCGTGTAATGAATGTGTTTTATCAAAACGATAATTCACCAGCCCATTTAAACTACCAATCAGATACAATCGACAAAATATCATCCCCATCTACTGCTGACAATCAACGTGTTGTAAATCATCGAAATAAAAAAGAAACTTCTGTATCAGCTGTTCCAAGACTACCACATACAAAACAACCTACAGATGAATACAATGAGTAAATTAATGTTTTTACCTTTTGCTAGTAATTGTCTACCTTATAGATATTTTTGGTTATTATCAAATCACTTCTATACTGAATCCAATAATTTGTTTTGATGACCAATATGTGCTTCTTAGAAAAAAGTCGATTTTTAAGACGTGGTATTCCCATAGCAGATTACATTAGTTGTCACTGGTAATAAGTACTTGTTAAATTATATCAAAAATTTTATCATCTCAAATTAAGTTATATAATTCATTTGTACTGATTATTTGAATCCTCCAACTGATGTTTAGAACCGTAATCTATACTTGTAGAGTCAACTAAGTTAACAAGTAAGGACTAAAAAAGCTTATGACTTAATGGGAATGTAGAGGGAATCGGCTGAGGATACACGTAGATATGTGTGCATCTCGACATGTTGCGTTAAAAATGACTTGTTGGTTGAATACAACTTTACTAATTAGTATATACTACTTGTGGATAATATGGAAGTGTAAATAGGATTGGATCGTTATTAGAAGTACATGAACATCATAATCAATCGTTAAACCGAAGGATTGAATACCGTATGAAGATATTTGTATATAATAATGTGATATTGATCTTACAGTATCAATGATAATTCTATTTTAAAACAAAAAGTTTTGAGAAGAGCCCAGGTTATCTGTTTTTAATTACACATCATTTCTTTCTTCAAATGATATCATCTACAACATTTTTTACTTCATACCTCCGCAATAACCTTTCTGTCACCTGATTGATTGTTATGACTTTTAGTGTGCTAACTTTTTATTTGCCGTAGATTCAATTAATTTTACTCCGTAGACAAGGTTATTCCGTTTTTATTTCATTACGTGTAGATTACTAGCTTTGAAGAGTTGTTGTGTGTTAGGCGTCCGCTGTATACCAGTGTCCATTCGTTGAGTTCATATTAGAACAACTTCCAATTATTCGTAAGTAGAAATTATCATAGGCCACCCGAAAAACCCAATACTTAATCGTTTTTATCAAGGTTTTATTTTAAAAAACCAATTACTTTATTAGAAAATATGAAGATGGTTAACTTGAAGAAATACTCTTTTGGATCATATTTGCTGTGATATATTACTAAGAATACTTTGTGTCACATGATGAGAGCAGTGTTCATATATCTTACAAAAATGAAGTTTACTGATAGTTGTTCTCTAAGTTAACCATGCGTCAGTCTGTCAGAAGACGACCCAGTGGAGTTTATAATAAAATACCATCTAACTTGTCCATACAAATCATCTTTAAGTTTGAATTTCACGTTGAAATTGCAGAGTAGTAATAGTTCCTTTAGATCCTTTGTTTAATGATATGACTTTTGACTGGTTGTAGAGTTCTCCTCAACTGTTTGACAATTTTAAGGTGAAATTATCAGTTTATGTGCCCGGGTATGGCCGACGTTGGAGATAGTTCGCTCTTTCTCTCGAAATACTCTTACATGGCCACGCGTATCAGTCAACTATCGATGTGCTGATGTTCTAGGACAAAATTTATGATGTACTTACCAAACGCCCTGTTACGGTCGAGGGTGGGGTTAGTTCTCTCTCACATGGCCACGCGTATACAGCTACTTCCAGGAAAATCCTACTCACAGCCTTCTCGCGGTGGGGTGTTGTTTATGGAATTGATAGAACGAGAAGCGAATATCCTGCACTTAAACAGGGTTGGTGGGTATTGAGAAACCACCTACGATTGTTGGAAAACCCTGATTCCAAACCAATGGTGTACATGAGCTCCAGGATCCTGAGGGAACAAATGGTGCATGAACTAATCGCTGGTCACTGGCTACCATGGGACTGCATCTCCTAACGTTGTTCAACTATCTTGTGTATTAGACCTCCAGGTCAAAGGCTTGGGGGTGGCCCCCTAATAAAACCACCTACTTCGGTTTTGGAGCCCGGGGCGTATTCCAGCTCTCATACAAATCAATGATAATTGCTACTGACCTCACTGTTATTGTGTGACGCATGTGTATTCAGTGCCCCATTGTACCGATGTTTATATGTTCAAATAAATAAATAAAACGTGCTCTTGTGGAGCACATAAACCATCAACTTCCCAAATTTATTTCTAAATATTGTCCGAGATGACTATCTAAAGAGGTATACTAGTGAGTTAATAGCTCAATCCTTGAGAACGTGATCAACTATAGTCACAGGAATCATTGTTCAGGGTTATTTAAAAAGGACTGACTCAATAGAGGTTTGGATAAGAAATTTGTGAGCAGCTGAAACTACTGAAATTCACCAGTTCATACTTGATCTCTGTATTCGAAAAATAGGCATCTTCCAGCGCTTAGTATTCTTTCTAATTTCACAATGTTTTAGACCCGGTTGCTCTCCTATTCTTCATCATCACTGTCTTATACATTTTTTCTATAAACGATTTTTCGCTCTTTACTTTTAAGCTTATGCAACTTATATTCAATCCTTTAAAACTCTCCATGATTCTTGACTACTTTGTGAAAAGTTGTAAGGCTGCTTTACATTAATATCGTGGATTATATGTGAAATTTATCTTAAATATGATTATATAGCTTATGTAAATGACATCGAAAAGAAAATTTTCTTCACTGAACCGTCTTCATTTTAGTCTTTTTTCGATGAAGAGAAACTGTTTTCATTAATGGTTTAAATAAGGTTTTCTATTTTAAAGTCCAATGGGTTCCATTTTATTCCCTAGAATATCAATCAACTTAGAGAAACGTGGACAAGGAATCATCATGATAACAGCATAATCAAGATTGTAATATTAAGTCATAAAATGATAACTGCAAAGATCCATAACTTTTACACAATGAGCGTAAATAAAGGAGTGTACAATCTAAATATGAAAAACAGTATATGATATAATATGGATGATAGTAACTATTTAAATTATTGTTACAGAGATTGCATGTACAATTGCTCGACTAGAAAAATAACTTAATGTATCTAATGTGGTTACCTCAATAACATAAAGAGATCTCATTACTATGTGTGTAATTAACTCTTCCTGAACGAATCGAACACACGTCAACCATGTCGTAATACCAAGCTTTCGTATATTGACTGATTTTTATTCTTTATTGAGACTACAGTTTATTTTGATAACATTATTCAAAATCTACAAGAACGGCACGTTGAATTTTATATATATCATAATCGTCATGAAAAATCTTATCTTACCCTTTTTTCTCTCCCAAAGATTTACAGTTGAAAAGTGTGTCACCTCACAAGAAAGTTTGGAAACTACTAACCATATATGTGAGTTTTCTCTATTGTTTCCTTATTTTAAAAATCCAATATTAATTCTTTATTTTTTAGTCTATACCGTAAAATAATAAAAAAAGATTTGTAGACCGAACAGACGTTCCTAATAATATCGGATAGTTTAATGGTGAGACTTATTGTCGTCCTACACGACAATAATGTTTACTTCATGCACAAGCCTTGAGGTAGGCATTAATGGTGTCTAGAATTACAATCAAAGATCCTCCACTATAATATCCACCTCCAATAAACTATCATTTTCAAATCTTTACAATTATATATATATATATATATATATATATATATATATATATATATATACTATGTTTGAAGTTAACCTACTATTCGGTAAATTTGGAGAATAACAAACACCAACACATCGTAGTAGTTATAAGCTTTCTTTTACATGGTTTAATTGCACTAATCAGTCATTTAAGATATGCAGAAATAAATAGTTCGCTTTCCAGATGACTATATTCATAAAATCATTGAATTCTAGACTGAACTGTACCAAAAAGTACAAATTGAATGTCATAAGAAGAATGTCCCCCGAAGCACACATAGTGTGATTAGAATCCGTTTAATAATCATAATATATGTGTGGTTAGCTACTTTTGATGTAATAGCTTTACGTCAGCTGCCGGATCACAATCGTATTCATTTTTTGTCTCTAGATATTGATTATTAATATGTTATACGTTTCGTTGTTTAGTGTATTTGTTCTTTACAAGCTACTTGCCACTTTTATCGTTGCTAGTAATTCAAATACTTTTGTTTTCCAGTTAATTAATTTACTTTTCCGTTGTCCTAATGCAACGTGTCATAATTGGAATTGATGTTTTTTATTTATTTATTTGAACACATAAGTATTGGTACAAAGGGGCACCAAATACATATGCATCACACAAGTCATTTGATTTGTGTGTGGGCTGTGATACTGCTCGGGTGCTCAGACCGAAGTAGGTGGTTTTATTAGGGGGCCACCCCCAAGCCTTTGACCTGGAGGTCTAATACACAAGATAGTTGAACAACGTTAGGAGATGCAGTCCCATGGTAGCCAGTGACCAGCGATTAGTTCATGCACCATTTGTTCCCTCAGGATCCTGGAGCTCATGTACACCATTGGTTTGGAATCAGGGTTTTCCAACAATCGTAGGTGGTTTCTCAATACCCACCAACCCTGTTTAAGTGCAGGATATTCGCTTCTCGTTCTATCAATTCCATAAACAACACCCCACCGCGAGAAGGCTGTGAGTAGGATTTTCCTGGAAGTAGCTGTATACGCGTGGCCATGTGAAAGCGTTCCGTTAGGGAGAGCAAACTATCTTCACCGTCGGTCGTACCAGGGCATTTGAGGGCTGAAATTGATGCATATTTACTAGTATATTCATTATTTAGTGAATTATTTCATTAAATTGCTTTCGGATGAAATTTCATCAGACTCTTAGTTTTCTCGTAAAACTTGATTATTTACAAATAAGGAGTATGTGTTTACTTCATTTAATAGACGCATTATAATCAAATACATAGAATCGCAAAAGTTATAGATGACGTGTCGATTGATATCTAAAAACAAGTTATTCAAACAAAAATTTACATTTTTACATAGATATTCCAGTTTATTTGTAATAACATAACACGCGATGATAATGATCATAATAATACCAACCATGTTTTTCACCTTTTTTACTAGCAACCTCATCTTCACCGATTCTATCTAATGAATCGGATAAGTCCGTTAATCATCCGTATCAATCGCTTGATACAGTTAGTAACAGTGAATTATTCGATTGGCCTGAAACTATTCAAACTTGTCCCAACCAAATGGCGAGGATGCATCATTATGCCATTAATAATCAATATCCATTGACAATCCATCCTGTATGGAGCGGAGCTGTTACTGAGTCGGCCAAATATTGGGACCAACCATTGTTACATTCAGATGAAATGTTATATTCGAGTGATTCACATGATGAGGGTAAAGATAAATTTTTATACCTGTTGATATATATATATATATCAAGGCAATCATTTAAATACTGAAATTTGATACACATTAGATATTTGGCTCTTAATAAGCTGTCTTTACGAATCGAAGATTCGATTTTAACTCTTGAATTGCAAGTTCAAACTCTACTTCTCTTCTCTGTTTAAATACTTCACTTGTAGGTAATCGGCTAAAACGTGGCTAACATTTCAATAATACGTGCAGTTGTTTATTAAATTGGATTTATAGAAATGATTCGTGAATTCTTAACAACACATTGATAACCTCTTCTTGATGTTAATGCTTACCAGCTTCAGTTTGAATAAAACATGAATATAAGTTGATGCATTTGTACTGCTTACATTTGTTTTATCGGAACATTTTTCTTCGTAAACAAATTTGAAATTAGTTCTTTTCTTCCATTCCGGATGTGCAATCGATTAGAAATACCAAAAGATGATATACAGATAGTCTGTACTATCTATTTTAAACACAAACTTTATACAATATGATCACAAAATGTTGGGCATACAGCGCTGACAGTTAGATGACTTATACGAATACATGTTTTTGGGACCAAAACACACTTGAAGTTTTCCAGTTTCAGTTGAATACTTTAAAGTGATTTATCTGAACACTTCTTTGTATATTTTTTATCAATCTGCATATCATCAATATCCCAATTTTTTAAGGACTTAATTGTTTAGTTGTCGTTAATCAGGAGAAAGGTGAATTTTTCTACAGAAGTACCTAGTAATGATTGTACACAACATTTTTATAGAATGAATATTCTGTTTTTTTCTTACTTCGAACATTGTATCATTGAAATTAATTTTGGTACTTAGAAGTTTTCAGGATGTTCTGTAATAATAATGGTCTACGGCGAACGGCACTGGATTCACATCTCAGAGTGAAGAAATAGGATGAAATGAGAATCAAGATTCTGCTCTTAGACACGATCTATTTCTGCTTAATAATTATGTTTAATTGAAAAGATTAAACGTTATATAGTGTTTCAGCTAACATTGTCTTCGTCTAATCCGGGTATTAAACCACCATGATTGGGAAATTATATATATATCACTTTTAGATATTTAACAATAATGTAATTTGTCAATTATCTGACCTTCTGTAATTAAAATTTTTAGAGTTAGTCTTTACCACGAACTGGAATCATCTAAAAAGCTATTGTACACCAGAAATCATCGGAGAACTCCTGTAGTACGGACGCATGAGATCGCGTTTAGAACTTCGAAATTTTAAAACGAACCCAGAGTCACTTGATCATTTATCTGAAATCCAATGATCCTATCCTATAAAGGGTAGTTTGTGACAGAAACTACCTTCAGATTATACAAGTTTTCAGAAACCATTTAAGCAAAGGTTTTTTTTCTACAATTTTATGGGTGTGGGTATATTGAGGATAACCTAGGATTTCAGTAACAAGCTGCCCGAAATTCGTTTGTTGAATTCAGTTTTTTTCACCCCTTGTTTTTCATATTTATAGCAATGAATCGTTTATCGGAAGTAACGCATACATTTGCACAATCATTTCTGACTGAACCAATTGATCCATCATTATCATCTTTTCATCCACAATTTATATCACCCCGATTCGAAACAAACCATTTTATTCAACCAACTGGTATTTATGAACATGGATTAAAAGATTATTTCAGTCAGAATAAATTTATGTTAAATGATAATATTTATTCAGGTATTTGGAACACTGTAAAGGAGAACGACACTAATCAAAGTTATCTGTCTACTGAAAACTCACCCGAGTAAGTTTGTTTTAAGTAACTGAGCTGTATCAATTTTTGTTTTTGGCCATTTAATTACGACTACTATTATTGTAGTCACTGAATCTTCGCTATATATCGATGCGTTCACGTGTCCGGCTGGGGAATTATGAGTATTAAGTAAATGATGTAAACGTGGCTCACGGGGTATAAAGGTCATACCAACTGCACGATTAGTTATTTTCATGCACTGCGTCAAGGTGTCTGCCTGCCAAATTATTTCCCAAGGCTAATTATCTGATAGTGCTTTGTTAGAAGAAAGGAGCACAACATACCAGCCAATAGCAATTGAGTTTGCTTACTGAATACGAATAACGTTTATCCTTACCTGTTTTTTCTCACTACTGTCTACCTATTCTCAGGTAGATTTTAATTAAAAAAATGCATAACTGTTATCTCTTGTAAGTAAAAAAATTGTTCGGTCGATTTGAGAGACTCATACAACTAATTTAATATTCCTGATTTTGTAACAAGACCTTTCTGAAGATATATTTGTAGTATCCTGCCCCTTGAAAATGCTATTATTACGGTCAAACGACTGGAACTTTATCATATACATAAATATATTCTGCTCTCACTAACAATGTGTTACCAAATTTCATACTATAGAGAATTCTATATTTTGCCATTCATCACCTTGTTGCTATCAGTTCTGAGCGATAGAAGATAGTTTTCCTAAACTATACAGAAACTGATATTCATACTGAGTCCTGTTCCTTCAGTAGGTTTTCGTACATTTACACGCCGAAATTTCGTTAAAGGTCCAGAGTTCATATTTCTTTCACTGACCTTTTTCTCCTCATTATTGGTTGCTATCTTCCAATGACATTTTGTTTTGTATATTCCACGGACAATCGCATACTGTAATTATGAACAAACTGTATCATAGTTTTCTTCGTTTGTTAACGTAAGGAAAGGTTCATTCCTAAAAAATTAGTTTTCCTATTCTTACTGTCCACATAGGTCAGCTATGGTTAAGGAATTGCTCTTATATCGCTAGAACAAATTCAGAGTAAGCCTCTAGTACCCACTTGGCAAGTGTGGAAAACTATAGTATACTCCACAAACTACGGTCTCAATTAAAATTAAAACCCCTGGTGTAGTTTTAGTGTAACCATTATCACTTTACAAATCGTCAACACTGTAGCTGCTGGATGTACGGGAAATAACATCTATTAATGCTTATTGATTAATACGAATAGTCAACTGATTATTTACGTACATTATTTCCTTTAAGACTAATGTGGCTCAAACCGCTTTATTAACTATAAACACTGCTTTACTAGCATAGTTATTCTCAATCATATAAACTATTTGGTTATCATTTTATTATCTGAATTTTAAAGCTAGCCATTTTCGCTTTATATTTACAGATATCTGTCGTCAAATGATCTTGTTGGACAGGACTTTCTACAATCTGATTATTCTTGTGATTACCATGTAAACAAAATTACAGTTGAAAATGCTTTTAACACTACTTTACCAATTATCTGTTCACTAATTCAATGTAATAATGATATAACAAATAGTTGTACCGCATTGCAATCATCAATAATTTTCCCTACAAATACAGACAAATTAGATACTCCTGTAATTACTCAGATATTTCTCAATGCTTTGCGTACAGCACATCGTCAAAATATTGATGAAACCAATCCATCTTATCATTATACTAATTCCACTGATATACATATTGCAAATTCAACTGTTAACTTGTCATCCGAAAATACTATTCCAGATTACTATACAAATGATGATGATAATGACACAATGAGAATCGATTGCAATCCACATGATAGTAGTCGAATAAGTTTTTATGAATTATTACGAATCACTGAAAGTAGACGTTTATCTGTATTAAGCTATGAAGCCCAAATGAACAGTTCTATTGAAGAAAAGAGGGAAACAAAAGAAGAGTATTTCGATTTAGTACCAAATCCTTTGAAGACCAAAGGACTTAGTGACAACCAAATAACCCCCAAAGAGTTGTGTAGTTATTCTTCATGGAAATCTATTATAGATATACCACAATCTGAATTGTTTCAGGAATTAGGAGTAAGTTGATACAAAGTGTATTTTCGTAAATACATTATATTTCGTACTTAATAACAACACTGTGATTCAGTTGTACATTTTCGTTTTATTCATTACTATCGCTAATACTGACTAATTTTGAATTCACCACCGTTTCATCACACTAATATTTCCCTGAAGGATGGCCTGTGGAATCATCAACTGGCAGTTTGACGCATATTTGGAGGCGCAGAAATTCTGATAGTGGTTAGCGAAACAATCGTTACTTATGATTGAAAAGAATCCTGTTTCTCACCTAACCCTTCTCTGGGTTTGCAGATTGTTTGACTTCATTAACCCAAAGATAATAAATATCCTTTGTTATAGTATTGGGTGATGTTAATTCCGAGTCTCTAACAATAAATTATTTTTAGTTTCAGAAAAGTGTCGCAGCACATAAACCATAGATCTCATACTTCCGGCTACATTTGAACCGTGTTCTAGAATTTCAAAAAATAAGCATTAACACCATGCTAATCAGTATCATATTGAACTGTGTCGATTACAAAATATAAATTGATTTCTTTTAACAGATAATCAACCTTTGAATCACGAATTCAATTTACTGTTATTTATGGTTTTGTTGTAAAATAAGAGAAATTCTTGATTTCACCAGCATGATTGTTTGTTGTGTAAAGTATGAGCAACATTTTAATTCTTTACTGTTTTTGCTTTTAGCTATCGGAAACCACATCTGAACAGTTTAACTTTCTATCGACTGGTTTTATGAATTATGAGAATACGTCCAACGAATCATCTGCTATTGCTCCATGGACATATATTTTCGAAAAAGTAATCAAAAGAATAAATGATATAGATAATAATCAGGATTCTTCGTTAAATTGCGATAAACCTTCCTCTTCTCTTTCTTTTTCTACTACGATTACCCCCACTGATATGTTTGAATAAATTAAGCTAAGTAAAACAGAAATTCAAAGTTTGAGTGTACAGGACACAGAGAAGGGGATGTATTATTTTTCAATGATATTAGAATTGAAACATTCTCTTCTTTTTTTTTATAAAACTTGGACGCCTTTTTTAGAGATTTATTTTTGTTACTTATTCATATTTTTCTTGTCCTTTGAGAGCTTATTCTTTAACATGTCACGATTAGTTTTTTCGCCGTATTTTCTTTGTTTTCTCTCCCTCTAGTTTTACATCTTGTTTTGTTTTTGAAAAGAATATATGGGCATCCATTGTACTCAAGCTTATATTTATACATCCTATATATAGACGTATATATCAGAGATAGAAAAATATATAATCTGTCAGAGATAGTCCCTTTTAAAGTTTTGGGATAATGTTAGATGATAAGTTTATGCGTCCACATTTTGGTGAGCGTAGGTAGAAACCAATCTTTTTAATTTATAAGTAAATTTAACTAACTGATCCTTCAACTTTTATTAGTTGGTAATGGTGAGACTAATTTATGGACGACTTTTGAGCGACATCACAATGACCTTGAGAATGTCCACCTACTTAATAAAGCTAAATGATGGTTGTAAAGCAGTTTGAAAAATAAGGATTATGATTTACAGCTGATGGTTAGGGTTAAGAATTAGATTCATGGTTTTCATCACAAACTGACATAAGCTAAAACGCTATTTAGACAAATAGCCGAATGAATTCCGCGCCAACATCCAAGATTTGGTTGGTTCGTCCATAAATTATAGTCTCGCCGTTGGTAATCTTATGATCCAAATAATATTTCCAAACTTTACAAATGACTACTCTTTTTCTCAAGATTAAGAATAGAGAGTATATTTATTGATATCTACTACAATTGCTGAAAATATGACAATGTTCCTGACCATAAGTACTCGCACCAACGTTGAGATGCAATCCCATTTCGGTATATCTACGTAAATGATAAGCTTAGACGTTTTAAAATCAGATCTATGGACTATTGTTTATTTTGTCTTACAAAGAACTCATGTTGATGAATGCTACATGATATGGGCGGCCTGATTGAGCATCTGGGCTACCTGTTCCTGCCATCTAGATATTTCAACAAGTTATCTATTTTTGTTTGTTTTAATATATCATTATGTCTATTAATCGTATAAACTATTCTGCTGCGTTTCTGAAAAGTGTACAACCTTTCGTTGTCAAAGTTACAAAAAACTCAATAAGAGGCAATGTGGTTGCTGGCAGTATACAACGAAAAGAATGCATATTATTCAGATGTTCATTCAGTGAACTGCTAACATCTAACTAGCGATCACTCAATATTTATCGCCAGGACCGACCAAGAAGAAACGGAAACTTGTTGAAATACTTTGCGCTGAGAATTCTATATTGTACCAAAAATATAATATTGAATAAAGCTGATAATAATAATAATATGATTCGACAATTTTGCATCATATAAATTAAAATCGAATAAAAAAAGCCTAATGGAATAATGCTATTTGATATATTCCGACTAATTGTATTAGCCGAGAAGCTATAACTAATAGGGGAGGCGCACAGGTTTATCACAGATGAAGACGACCAAAACGACTGGCTAATAGATCCAAATTACAATGGAAAAATTAAACGAGGAAAGACTAGATAAGTATAGAAATTTTTAGTCTCAGCGAATTGACGGTTTCGCGTAAAGTCAATTTAATGGCTTTATTGAGTAACTGTCCCACTACTGGCCTCGTTAACTCCGCAGGTCACGAGAATTTTGAGAAATCTAATTCGGAACTAGTCAGTAATGAGCATAAAATCGTTATCAAATTAAATAATTGTTTCAGGAATAACATGGGAATAATGCGTTTTAATATTTATCAAAGAGTATTCAATTGTTCTACCTGGGAAAACTAATTAACTGTTTACAAATATACTGGTTTATTTCTCAAAATTTGCGAGTATAGTTATTTACATACACTTAACATTGATGCATTAATGCTGTTTAAATACTTTTATTACTTAAAGAGTACCTAGTAATCAGAGTTCGCACAAATGTGTAATATGAAAGAAAATTCGATTAATTGGATTCTAAGGTAGCTCATTTTGACTGAAATAACTGAATAGATACTTACTTAAGGAAACAGTTCCCAAGTGAATGAATTTTCGACTATACCGTAGTGAAATAAAACACCTCTTTGTACTGATAATATTTAATCAGGACATTAAAAATACATGTCTATGAGGTTTGTCGGTACAATTTTCACAGTGAATAATATTTCTGACAGAAATGTACAGTGTAACTAAGACGACCTTTTTAACAATAAATATATAAATTGTTTGTAGTAAGTGGACAATCAGAGACAAAGGAAATGAGATTAGTGGAAATGATGAGTAGGAGTAACGAGAAGCAATATTTTTACATCATAAATGTGTTACTACAATCATTATACTCAATCGCTGCAAAGACCGATTTATATGATCAACGTATAAACTTTTTCACTAAACTATACCACAAATCATCGTTGAACTAATTTAAAGACTAGCAAACTGATGAATTGCAACGTCCGGTATTTTTGTGAAAACCTTTAATATCGTTTCTGATCTTCAGTTAACAATATCTTCCAGCTAACTTAATTTCTGACAGACAGATTTCTTTGGCCTAAGTTTTCAAACCCGATTGGCTTGACGGGAATAAAATAACAGAAGAGATCGAAGTAATGTAGTAACAATCATGATGAGGAAGATTAAGTGTTGGGAATATGGTTTAAAAAGACAATAGGAAGGTATGAACGAAGGAATACCGGAATTCATAATCCAGAAGATAGAGCGTGGATGAATCTGCGCCACTGTGAACGATCCTGAGACATGTTACCAGTTATCAGACAGACTACAACCAGGTGGTCTGCATTTATCAACATGGATTAGATCAATAAGCAGTGACCTCACGAACTGACGGCACTCTTTAGTCTGACCACTCTTATCTTTCTTAACCTACCTCTGCACTACCAAGTACCGCTCTTCGGTGTAGGCGGCCGATAAGCATCCACATAGAGGTTGCCGTCTCACAACAGAAAGACGGATTCGAAAAGACAAATCCTAAAAGTAGCATACTTTACCTTGCGACACTGATTTCCGTCTCTGTTGGTTATGGCTTTCAAAGTACGAAGCTATCTCTCCACAAAAAGGCTGTATGATCTACCGCAAGCAGTTGTCTCTTGGGTTGTGTGGTCATGTTCTCAGATCACAACTAATACAGTTTCCTTTTCAGGTAACCCAAGGAAGAATGCCTTTTCATGGTGTGAGCAAACGGAAAGTGACAGCTGCCTTCATAACTATACAAGAACATCTAATCTCTGAAACAACAGTCAAGAAGTACGTGTTGAAATACATATATTGACGATACATATTACTTCAACTATCCGGTTAGAATAGTAGAAAAACATGTCCGCTTGAAATTCGCATCACAATAAATCACAAAAATGTTGATATATATAACTCCGATTTATCGTCAACTGAAATTTTTCCTCTGTTCACAAGTATTGGCTTCTTCAATTCCTTCCCCAAGAAGGTTGATCTAATTGAAACATTATTAATCAGGTTACAAAAACTAAATTTTCTAATACCTCTTCCATGACCTTTTCTGGATATTTGACTTTGTACAATGTAGCATTAGTAAAACAATGTGAAAGACACTCCAAGCGTTCAGGGTGTAATTTATTAAAATTTTTTTCCAAAAACGATCGCCTTATGCGCCATTCAGTTGGAGTTTCATGAGTTCTTTTCCAACTTTCCAATTCCTCCATAGGTAGCTTACTGAATCCAGGTGACAGTCTAAATGGAAGTAAACAGAATTTTATTTTTATGGAGAATTGCTAAATTATTTATCAAACTGTTAACAGTAATATGCGGTATCGGTTTTGGTAATCTTATCTCGCTGTGATGACAAGTTGTGCGAGTCTGAACTGATGTATATAGGTGCCCAGTTTTATGTTATTTATAAATGGCTGATTGAAGGAACTGTTATCTTTTGGTCTGAAACTGATTGAAAGTGATCACCATCGACCTTGCCTGGTATCGATATCAAAACCAGGAATTTGAGATCTAGAGAAGAGAACAATAATAGTAGGTTTCTGCCTCAGAACCCAGTCTCACATGTAGACCTTCTAGGGTTACTGTCGGTCTCCAGACCGGATAAGGGAGTATAGTAGGGCTTGGGGTTAGCAACCCCCTCCCGTGGAAAACAGCTTAGCTTAAAAAACGCTAACCAGAATAAATCATTTAAACCAATTAAGCTCTGAACTGGGGGTTGAAGGATCTTCATTTGCAACAATTACAATACATCATGGTAAAAGCCATAATTCTTCGGAAGCCACGAGGCTGATGTCCCTTCTAACAACGTTCGGCAAATGTGGGAAATCAGGAAGACTAATCAAATAGCTGCGGAAATGTGGAGATACAACTTGGTGGTGCTGGGAATCAGTGAAATCCATTGGACCCAAGCTGCACAGAAGAGATTAAATTCGGTAGAGGTGGTGCTGTACTGTGATCATGAACAAGAAAATGCTTCGCATACACAAGGCGTTGCACTGATGCTATCCAATGAAGCACGAAAAGCGCTTATAGGAACCCTCAAAACAAAGGAGTGAATCACAATGAATCTTATCCAGTGTTATATACTGATAAATAATAGAAATGAAGACGATAAAGGTCAAATTTAGGAGAGACTGCAGTCAATAGTAAATAAGTGCTCAGGAAAGGACCTGACCATCCCTATGGGAGACCTAAACACCAAAGTCGGAATGGACAACACCGGGTATGAATATATCTTGGGACGACATGGACTGACTAGGAGAAAGGAACGAGAATGGTGATAGTCAACCGAGCAATACTGGCTGGAACAACCGTTCCTCAATGTCCTACCATGCCAGACAGGTCGGTCGGAGAGCAGTCAGTCAGTCAGCTACAACGTAGGACCAGGCATATACATGCGTCGGTCCAAGTTGTCACACCTCATTAACACAACAAGATGGACATCGGATTCATATAATTGGTTAATTCAGAGGTAGTAATGTATAAAAGAAAGATTGCAATAAGGATATAGTACAGGAAGAAAGAATTAGTTCGTAGAAAGAAAGATATGAAATAATATTAATCGCATAGTTTAAGGGAAGACAAAGAGTGTATGCACCTACGCCACTGTGGTCGATTATGAGTCATGTCACCAAAAGTTTCCAACCATTGCTTACGATAGTCGCGCGGACCCCAACTAAGCAGTCTGCATCTACCAACATGGTTCAGACTAGAAGTTAGTGACTTCAAGTGCTGGTGCCACGTTTTGGTTTGGCCGCCCTTAACTTTCTTCCAGCCATCCCGAACACGGGTTAGCATTGCACGTCGTAGTAATCGGTGTTCAGGCATACTTATCACGTGACCCAACCATCTTAGTCGATAAAGATTCACAACCTCATCAACTGATTTACCATCATTCCCTAATACCCTGCGTCTAACCTCACTATTACTTATCCGGTGATCCCAACAGACGCCAGCAATATTTCTAAGGCATCTGTGTTCAAATACCAGTGAATATGTGGTGGATGCAGCCACGACCAGTTCTGAAGCCTGCTTGATTCTCTCGTGTTTGCAGTTTACGAGTCACAGTTAGGGGCCCAATAATTATCGAGGCTAGCATTTTAGATGCTATATTAGTCAAACTAATCGCTCTATGGTTGTCACAGGATGATTTTGACCCTTTCTTATATATCGCGACAGTAAGTGACTGCGACCAGTCAGATGGGATTACGTCCAACTCCCCGATCTTAGCTAAAACACTAGTCAGCCTAATCGCTAAAATTAGACTACCATCCTTAAAGACCTCTGGAGCCAATCCATCTGGACTAGCTGCTCTTCCCTGTTTCAGATTAGCTATAGCCTTTTGAACTTCCGCTAGAGTCGGGGGAACCTACTTCAAAGTTCCATTTACGCTGTCTGGGAATGATGGGTAGTTGTAGAGTAGCTGAAGGCCAGCTGAACTGCTCCTTAAAGTGTCCCGCCCATCGTTCTAAACGTCTGGACTGAGAGCAGATGGGGGTGTCGTCTGTTTCAGAAATAGTCTGACTTACACTTGACTTCTTAGTTCCAGTTTCTTTTATTAGTCTGTAGGGCTGTTTAGTGTTACCTACAGCCTCTGCCTTTTCCATCTCTTTTGCTTTCGTTGCCTGCCACCGCGCACAATCGTTCCTTAGACTTTCGCTTAACCTAGATCTGATTTGCTTTCGCTCTTCATCGTGTTCAGAGCCTGATAGGATGAGTTTACGATAGCCCACTAGTGCAACAGACTTAGAAGAAATCCGTTGGTTTTTTGTGACCCTTTGGTTTAAATCATTAATAGGTGTCACTGCTGTTTCTACAGCTGTTTGTATATGTTTCCAAGTAACATCTGCGTCAGACTCGTTTTCGGGGCTACCTGATTGTGACCTCAGTTGTTCCTGGAATCTAATTTCGGCTTTCTCGTCACTCAATTAAATTCTAATGGGTCTTCTTGGTGTGGCTTTACTGCGTCCAGTGAGGCGCAAGCAGGCACGTGCCCGTATAAGAGCATGATCGGAGTCCAATCAGGTATTCCAGAACGAGCGACAATCTTCTATCGACCCTCTCCAACGATGACTGATAGCAATATGATCTATTTGAGTCCATTGTTGGTTTGGTGCAGGAGGTCGCCATGTTAGACGATGTCTCTCCTTATGCTTAAAATTTGTTTGCTAAAAATAAACGATTGTCTGAGCACCATTATCTGTTCGTTGTGCCGGAATACTAAAATACCCACCTAAATGCCTTTCCGTTTGGTTTAAACTACCTATCTGTGCATTAAAGTCACCCCCTATGAGTATTATGTCTGAGCGTTTAACTTTCTGAAGAAGTTCAGGGAGCTTTCTGTAAAAGTCATCTTTCACTTCATCTGAGCTGCAGTCAGTGGGAGCGTAGACAGAAACGACAAAAAGGCAACGACGTGTGTCTCTGTCCTTCCAAGTTCTTATGGAGCCGTTTAGCCGAACAGCACATAAGCGACTGATAAAGGAGGTCCATTCTAATAGTGCTTGTTCCTCCCTCGTATTTAGTGTTATGCCTACTCCAGTCAGTCTACGAGAACTAGCCAATGGTTGCTATATACACGGAGGGTGTATCTCGTTGGCTCTCCGTTTTGGAGAGGTGAGGTCAAGTGAATGAACACACTAGTATCCTGTAAGCGTGTTTCAGAGACACAGCATATACCAATGGTATGAGATTTTATAGTCTCAGCCAAGGATGCCTGCTGGCCGATTTGACATAGTGTGCGTACGCTGAAAGACTCAAATGTGTAGTTTAGAGCGAGGTTTCAGTAGACCAGGGACAGTGTTTTGCGCACTAGGATCGTTGGCTATGGTGACACTTGAGGAGGAGGTCAAAAGAGGAAGTTTAGTGTTGAAAGTCGATGTAGGAGGAATGATAGGAATCGAAGAAAGAGGTTGATTATGAATACAGTGGTCTCGAGTGCTGTTAGAGGTATGAGGGCGGTTATCACATCCTGGTTGCCCACATCGTGGAAGGGTTCTTCTGGAGGTACCTGAAAAGGAAATTGGATTAGAGGTTATCTTAGTGACCTGAGAGCATAACCGCAGTGCTCAAGGGAAAACTGCTTGAGGTCGGTCATACACAAACTTTTTGTGAGTAATTTCCGCGTTAGCTCCGTACTTGAAACTTTACCGCCGGAAACGGATATCCGTGGGATAAGGCGGTGTGCATTTTTAGAGTCGACCTTTTCTAACCCCACCTCTCCTTGTGGAAAGGCAGTATCGCTATCATGCTGGTTGTCTGAAGAAAACACCTTACTGCTGTCACACCTCTGTAAAGTCAGCAGTACGACCTCGCCTTCGGAACTTAGGTTTGTTGCTTTTAGTCTTACCGCTCTCCGACAATGGTGGTCTATCTTCACTTAAAAGCAGCATTTGACTCTGTAGACCGCGAGATTCTGTGGCAGTGTCTGTCATTGAAAGGCGTACCCCAGAAGTACGTAAACCTTGTGAAGGCTCTTTACTCGAACACTGCTAGTCGAGTCAGGGCTTATGGCGAACTGTCATCTACTTTTGCAACCTCAAGTGGTGTCCGTCAAAGCTGTCCACTTTCTCCATTTTCGTTTAACTTCATCATAGACCGATTGATAGAAATAACATTCTCGTCGACGGAATTCTCGGGTATTGATCTCCTACCAGGAGGTCCACTTATCGACTTAGGATACGCAGATGATATAGTCCTGTTTGGTGAAGACGCTGACAAAATGCAGAGTATTTGGTAGCACTAAGCAACAATGCCAGAATGTTTGGGATGCGCTTCTCCAATCTCTTCGTCATTGTTCTCTTTTTCTCTTGCGCTTCTTAGTTTTTTTTCTACTTCTCTTCGAATTCTCATTGTTTTGTGTGGCGCATATATATTGGCGCTCTCTTGTACCAATATTCATGTGTTCAAATAAATAAATAAATAAAATCAAAGAGCAATTGACAATAAAAAGAAATGGAATGATAATGAAGTAACAACTTCGATTTGAATAATTGACCTTCATATTCCAAGCTATTCTTCATATTGAAAGAAAACGGCCAAGTCCCTACACTAGGATTTGGACTAGCATCCCAACATAAGGTTATCACCCCTAGAGTTTTTCGATTGTATGATCTCGGTTGTAATATAAAATGGCTAGTTGGGTATTAAGAATGACCCACGAATTTTGGCACGACATTTATCCGTACACTAGGCTAAATAGATTTGGCATTGTAGCTGATGTCAGTTCGTGATGAAAGCCTTAAATCTAATTTTTAACCCTAACCATCAACTGTAAATGAGAATTCTAGCTGCTTTATAACCATCGACGAGACTCTAATTCAGCGACGACCTTTGAACGAATCTTAAATGGCCTTGTTAGTTATTAGCCAATCAGAAGACAGTTAGTATAAAGTGAGAATATATTGTAAGTAATGAATTACAGTGGATATTCTTCATTTACATGATTTAAAAACTTGTTAAGGTTTGATAAAGGTTCAGAGGTTCTGGATTTATAATGCATATGGTATAGAAACTCGTCCATAGGGTTAGGTTAGGGTTCAGGGTTAGAGGTTAGGGTTGTAGCCTAGGGTTAAGGTTAAGGTGCTAATATGCGATCAGTTTACAACGGATTTTAGAGGTTAGGGTTTAGGGTTAGAAGTTAGGGTTAGGGATGGGGTTTAGAGTTAGAGGTTGTGGTTATGTTTAGGGTCAGGTTTTAGGTTAGGGTTGGGGTTGTAGCCTGTCAATAAACACCTCTTCTCTAAAATCCGATGTAAACCGATCGCATGTTAGCACTCTAACCCTATGGACGAGTTTATATACCATATGTATTATGAATTCAGAACCTCTGAACCTTTATCAAACCTTAACAAGTTTTTAAATCATGTAAAAGAAGAATATCCATCGTAATTCATTACTTACTTACAATATATTTTCACTTCATACTGTCTTCTGATTGGCTAATAATTGAACTTGCTCAAACTCTTCTCATTGGCTCGTCCTGCCGTTCCATCTGTTGAAACCTATCATTAATCACCTCCTCTCTAAAATCCGCTGTGAACCGACCGTACGTTAGCATCGCATGTTGAACTTGGCTCCGTGACCTTGAAATTGCTCAAACGCTTCTGATTAGCTCGTCGCTAAATTAGAGTCTGGCCTAACAATCATTTAGTCCTAATCAGTAAGTGTTCACCCTGAAAGGTCACTTCAACATCGCTCAAAGATCGTCCATAAATTATAGTCTCACCGTCGAATGGATAAACAAAACATATACACCATATTTGTGAAACGACAATTAAAACTTACATTGTCCTCTGGGAAGAAGCTCAGGGAAAGTTGCCCGCCGTTGCGTCTCAACGACCTTGAGTGTTCATTAAATGGTTCAAATGGTTGTGGACGGAATAGAAGAAGCTTTCGCTTAACAGGCTTCCGTGTCTAATAGCAAGGGATCACCAAATCCTCCAGGCAAGAACCTAGGTATGTTAACAATAAAACAGGAAAATAAATTAATAAATCATAGTGCGATACTATCCTTAGTCCTTAAGAATAGATCAAGTTGCCTCTTAAAGGACTCCTGAGTAGTCGCTTGGACTAGCTCAGTCGACAGCGAATTCCAGCATTTGACAACTCTTAAGGAGTAGAAGTTGTGTCTACAGTCCCTTCCGCTATGTTGTGTCTCCAGTTTTTTGGTGTTTCCTCTTAGGTTAGTGTTGGAACTAAGCTTAAGTAGGTGTTTGAGAGGATGTCCAGAAGTGTTAAGAACACTGTAAGCCATCAGAAGGTCACCTCTAAGACGTCTATACTCTAATGGGTAAAGATTAAGTGAATGGAGGCGTTCTTCGTAAGGTCTAAATTTGAGTCCTCGAACTGATTTCGTGGCTCGCCGTTGGATACGCTCCAAAGTGACCTTGTCCTTTTGGAGTGAGGGGGGAGTACTATGTTTTCGTACTCTAAATGGGGACGGATGAAACTATTGAAGATTATATGGAAAGTTCTTCCGTCAAACTGTCCAAAAATGCGCTTCAATGTTACCAGTGCAAGGTTTGCTCGGAAGGCATTTTTGTCACAGTTAGCGTAAGACTTTAAATCGTAGGGCACCAGGACTCCTAAATCTTTTTCGACTTGGGATACTACTAGAGAGGAGTTTCCTAAGTTATAACTGTAGTCTGCGACATGTCGCAGATGGACTACTTTACACTTTGAAGTGTTAAAGGTAAGTCCGTTATCGTCTGCCCAACTTTGAAGTCGAGTCAGATCCTCCTGAAGTGCCTGTATATCGTCTTGGTTGCGTATCTCTCTCCAAAGTTTCACGTCGTCGGCAAAAAGTAATAAGTCTGACGTTACCTGTTGAGGAAGATCATTTATGTAGATCAAGAAGAGAAGAGGCCCTAGTACTGAGCCCTGGGGACCCCACTAGGACATTCCATAGCCTGAGATAAAGTGAAATTAACCCTGACCTTAAAATGTCGATTTTTCAGGTATGAAGTGAGCCAATCGATTAGAGGTGGTCTGATACCCAATCGTTTGAGCTTATTGATAAGACATGTATGGTTAACCTTATCAAAAGCTTTTGAGAAATCTAGGTAGATGATATCAACCTTCCCCTTGTGATCAAGGATGCTTGTCCATCTGTCCACCGCAGTCAGCAGGTTGGTTATACAAGAGTAACCCTTCCTGAAACCATGCTGTTGGGGTGAGAAGAAATTTAAGGACAGTAAATAGTCATTTATACCATCGCATATCAGGGACTCCATGATTTTTGAGGGTATGGAGAGAAGAGCCACCGGTCGGTAACTTGAAGGTTCGCTGCGTCGACCTCCTTTGAAAATTGGTGTGATGTGAGCCAGCTTCCAATTTTCCGGTAGTTTTCCTCGACTTAGCGAGTGTGAGAACATCACGCTAAGCGGCGTTGCCAAGATTGAGGCTGCTTCCCTCAGTATAGCAGAATGGACCATGTCCGGGCCAGGAGAAGTGTCTAATCTTAAGTGCTGCAGTTTCCGGAACACCAAGTCAGCGCTTAGGTTCACTTCGGAAAGTCCTGTGGAATTGCAAATGAAACTGTCATCAGTAAAGTTAATGTCGGTCGGTTGAAATGTCTGAGTGTATTGTTCAGCCAGAAGGTTAGCGGCGTCGCCATCGTTGTTGGTCGGGCCGTTAAGACCTACCAGTTGGGAAACTCCAGTTTTGGCTTGACGAAGAGAGGCTGCATAACGGAATAAGCTTTTAGGATTAGAGGCAAATTTGTCCATAAGCTTTGTCTGGTACTGAAGCCTATCTTCTCTTATAGCCTTCGTGCATATGTTCCTGATATGTTTATATTGCCTGTACGCTCCGTCGTTGTCAGTTCGTTTGTATTCCGCCCAACAGTGCCTTTTGCGGCTTAGCAGGCGAAGGGTACGGTTCTTGATTATTGTAGGTGGCTTGCAGCTTTTGGGAACCGTTTGAGGAACTGAATGGTTTGTAGCACATATGAGCGTGTGCAGTAAGAAGTCCCAATGACATCCACATCGAGTTGAGGGTGAACATCCCAAACCACCTGTTGTAGATAGTCCTGTAGAGCTGGCACATTCAACCGTTTAAAATTCCAACGCAAGTTATTGGTGAGATATCTTAGCTTAGTTTTGCTGACAAAACTGAAGGCTATGACGAGGGGCCAGGATTGAGAGGTTGTCAACTAGGAATTCTTCGTCTGTAAATACACAGTCTAAGCGCGATGGCGTCTGACTGTTTCTCCAACGAGTTGCCGACCTCACATTTTCGTATAATCCCAAGTCATCGATGAGGTTGAAGAACCGAGCTTCAATTGAGTTGTCGCCTCCAGTATACGTGTGTTCCGCGAAGTTGACTCTAGGGAGATTAAAGTCCCCTAGAATCAGGATGTGTGTGAAACCGAGACGAGTAGAGCGGGATAGTCCTTCCAGCATACGACTATCGTACTCGATGTCGGCAGTTGGCTTCCTGTAAATGACTCCGACTAGACACCTCGAAGTAGCTGACAATCTTACAGAGCACCATATGGATTCCTCAAGATTGTTAAACTCGAGGTTATGAACTTGATGCACCTCCAAGCAAGAACGTATGTAAACAGCTACTCCGCCCCTAATTGCTGATTTTCTGTCATTGCGGAACAAAGACATCCCAGGTAATGCTAACTCATGGTCCGAGAACTGAGAAGATATCCAGGTTTCAGATATTCCTATCAGATGGGCCTTATTAGCATTGCTAAGTTCACGTAGTTCATCCATTTTGTTTGGTAGACTCGCGGCGTTCATATACAAGCAGTTTATGCTTTCAATTTGAAACGCGTGAGCTTCTTCCTGTTTGTCTGTATGAGCCTTACGTGAATGGACAGGTAGCCCACCTATATGAGGTTTGCCGAGGTGGTAGGCCCTGTCCTTTACACGTTTTTTATCGTCTAGACAGTCCACAAGTGGAATGGTCAGCTCCAACTTGCCTTTGTGTTTGGTCCTAGCTTCGTATGGCCTATCCGGGTGCATGTGGATTCCAGGTGGCAATCGACGTCTGTTGGCACGAAATGCTTCCAGAGTTGCAGCCGCCATGTGTGAAGATGGGAAGGTTATCTTCATTAGACGGGGTCTAGAATCACCATCCTTCTTGGCTAGTCTCGTCACATGCTGAGTCAGTATGTTTTTGAGCCTCAAGGACTGTTTGATGAATTTCCATTCCCTGATGTCAGTCTTTGATTGAGTAGGGTCCGTATTTTCCGGTATACCTTGCACGATTATATTCCTCCCGCGGAAAAACTGATCGCGAGTTTCTTTGGGGATGTTCCGGATGAGATTGCGCTCAGAATACGGTATGTCAGGCAGTATTCTTACATTCCCATCTGATTTCAGTAACTGGCTAGCTAGTAAGACATCCTCTACGTCGGTAGCATTCTTAAGTGTTACACGAAGTAGCCTCGGGTGATTTTGATGCTTAGATTCCTTTCCCCGAGTGAGCCGTGTGACTGTCAAAGGCTCTATTCTTGGAAGTCCAAGTTTCTTGTTCAATTCTCCCCAGAGCATCCTATCATTTTTGTCCTGCAAACTGAGAGGAAGGTCAGGGTTGTCTTTGAAGTTCATGACTATGAGAGAGTCATCACGAACCGTTATTGTCGTCCCAGGTTTTCCGGTGCGTTCAGGTTTAGCACCTTGTTGTTTGGGGTCGAAGCACGTTTATGAATCCTTGGCTCTTTGATGACCGGACGGACAATCTTGGGGGTAGACTGTGCGACCAGATCACCAGTTGACTTCCGTTCAACAGCTGGGATGTTCAACTTAGACTGTGACGCCTGGCGCTCTTTAGCTCTTTTGACATGGGTCCAATCACCTACAGAGTTTTTGGGAACCACTGTCGCGTTCAAGGACCTTGAGCTGTGAGACCCAAGTTTGCTGAGGGAGTCGAGTACCGTCGTCGTAATCATGGTGCTGAGTTTCAGCGTGTCATCATTAATGCTGTTGCATGCTCCGTCGTTGGTAGACCTGTCGACATCCCTGTTCTCGTTTTTAATGCGCTCTCTTGTTTGTCTACCCATTTTGGCTGTCTTTTCCCAAGTTTGCCGACAACTTGCTCTGCAGACCTGTCAGTAGGACAATGATATTACTCAGCAAGACTGCAGCATCCGTGCTGCACGTAACACATTCCCACTTATGGTTGGACTTGCTGAGTCTGTTGTAAGCAGTTGCTGTGAGATCTGTGCGCGCTTCGTGGAACCAACCTTTGCAGTTGTCACACTGCGTGCCAGATGTAACAGCAAAACGGCATCCAGTTTGTTTGCATGAATTTTTCATGATTGTATTGACGTAAACTGTGTTGTAGATGCTAGCGGAACCCTAAGACCGTAAAAATACACTGAAAAACACACTGAAAACGGACAAAAATGGATAAAACGGATGAGATAGACTGAACTAGTCTTTACGTGAAAAAGTGAAAAAAACCTAATAGTAAGCTGAGGCGAAACCACAGTTAACTATTAAATGGAGTGAAACTAAAAAAAGTAGTCTACCGAACGTATAGCTCAGGATAGATTCTTTTGGTCAGAAATGGTACTTTTGTTGCGTAAGAACACAGCAAAAGTTTGATGAATGCAAATCACGTAAGGACTAAACTTCCCGTTTGAAAAGCGCGCGAGTTCATTACGTATTTCAAATGCTGTGGATTTGTTGGGTTGCACGATTATCAGGTGTTCTCACTTTTACTTGGTCTTTTGCTGCAGCAAAACCACAAAATCATTGCGACGAACATTGATTTAGCTCTCTCTATTTTGTAGTTCACACGTTGGATCGATTGTTGCCTCGTAACTTCCCCATCTCCCTATTTTGGGGGAAGTTTTGTCCGATTTGGTTACATTTTGGTCGAAGGCCTCTTGTCCTGTTGCCTGGAAACAAAACGTATGGCAAGAAGATCAGCTTGGAACTGAAAATGCTGCTTTTTAATTTCAGGGACCTTTGAGTGGTCTGACCCGAGTTGTGCATTTCATATTCGGTGTTTAAGTAGTGTGGTTGTAAGGTAGCTTAATATCGTAGTAATCATGCCTTCAGGAGACCGTTATATTTATATCCCTGAATCTTACAAGGGATGACGTTTCGTGGAACAAATGACAGACTCACTTGAAGTCTCTTATCATGGGTCTTACATAACACTGTAGCGGTAAATAAATCCCCATATTAAATAGCTCTGTAAGTTTTCGACATTGGATACTGACGACATTAGTTTTAATGAACCCACATAGCTGAAGGCGCACGGTCAGGAATCCGCACCAGATCACGAGTGGGAACTCCGTGCTCAACATCCCTTGCACTCGCTAGCCAGATTAGATCAGACGATCCTCGATATATTGATAGTTTATCAAATATATAATCGAACCTTCTCGCTTCTGTCTTTTGATTTCACTTGGTGGGTACTATTCATATTAAAAGGTGTTACTGGTTGAAGCGTTGTCAAACTCCGAATACTAGTGGCATCTTCAAAACCAGAAACAGGTGAGATATAAATCTAAGAAGTTATAAGAAGATTTTTCCAGACAAATATTGCTAGGAAACTGCAACTGGGTTCAAAGTGTCGCGCGCTATTTGAAAAGGACAGTGGTATTTTTCTTGTGAGTATATTTCATAGTATTGATCGTTAAATTACATAACACGACTACTATTTTTGTTGTAAATTAATTTATTTCAGCTGAAGTAAACTCCTAACTTATCACTTTTTTCTAGAGAAGTCTACCATCTGTATTTTTTATTACAGATACAAAAAGGGGTACTATTATCTTTCCCCCCGTTGAGAATATCTTTTAGTACTGTCTATATACAAAGGTATTAAGGTCTTGTTGTAAATATTGAAGTTGAATTTTTTATTGTTGTTAGGCCCGGTAATATACAAACCTCTGTTTTTTCTTTGTGTTCAGTATCTACCACCTATCAAGCCTCAGAATACACTCATTCTAGAGATCACTTTTCGCTTTTGTTCTTCCTGTGAGATCACAAAACAAATTTATGGAGCTAATAAAACATCGTTGTGACAAACCTGCATGCTATCTCCCTGTTAATAATAGAATACGATGCAACAACTGCTGCTAGTGGTATCACAATGTGTGCACCGGACTCACACCGGCTGCATATAAAATGTGCTGCAAGCAACTATCACGTTGGCTATGCAAAGCATGCTGTTCTGCAAAGTCTCTGCGGATTCTTCAGGCGATTGGGCCGCTAAACATAGATGGAAAATTACCCTCAGATAAACAGGCAGCAGTGGATGAGCAGATTTCAGTTTTCTAGGAAATAGTGAGCGTCATCATGAGTCTAGCTTTAAATTTTAATGAGACCATAAAGGTGGAACCTACTAGAGAAACGGATAATAAGCATACACATGTAGGAATTGTCACAAGGAAAAATAAAAATCATTCTGAGAGGAGACTATTTATAGGCAACACTAAGATATGTGAATCTACGGTTTTAGTTCCGGATTCTCATATCAACGAAAAACAGACTATGGGGAGCAAAGTCTGAGAGGTATAAAGGATGTGATCAAGAGACAAAATAGGGTAAATGTATGACTCACAGCCACACCCAGGAAAAGAAAAGTAAGAAAGTAAAGTGGGATCTCTGAGTTTGAAGCCGAATCGGAATCAGATTGCACGGAGAAGGTTTCTGGATTTGGAATTTTACAGCGTGTTAAGTCGGACCTCGTTGACAGCTCGGTCGTTTTTCTGAGTGAAAAGGATCTTCCGGAAAGGGACCAAAGACTGGATTTAAGCATGATCTCATTCATTTTAAGTCCTTAATAAGCAAGCTACTCCCAGGAATATTTTCAGGAGTTAGGATCTGTAAGCTTCATAGAAAAGGACAAGAGGTGGGTTCTGAAAGCACTCAGCAAAGCTGCCTCTCAGAGGTTATCTTCGATTCGGCTGAAGAAAGAAACCTGACACTGAGAAACCCATACAAGCTGATTCGATCCGGAATATACATCCGTGAGGATCTTGGCCTGGTTGATCATATCAAGAGTGGTAAAAAGAGTAAGCAAGTAGGTAAGTGGTGATAAAGTCATGTGGAAATTTAAACGATTTTTTCGAACTATTGGTTTTCCGAAATCAATAAATGTTTATCCTGCTCTTCTCTTTAACGTTTCACAAACTGAGGCCTGTTTCCCCATTACAATTTTTCACACTGCGTTTAGTTCCCATGGTTTACCGGTAGTTCCTTCGTTAATTAGCTTGAGTTCTATCTACCAACAGACAAACCCTAATCTCTCCACTGCAATAATAAAAATGTTGCGTTTTATCAACGCCTTTGTATTGCTAGTTATGCTGCTTTTTCCTCAATTTTTCCAGTGTCACGAATATGATACACATAAACGGAATATGGAGCAGATGTACGTTTGATGAGGTCACATTTTGTATAATGTACCATTTTTGAACAGCTTATAACAACTATGAACTTATATTACAGTACCAATACACAAACCCATTTATTGACAGGTTTTCCTGCATGAGCATTCTATCATAAATTGTGACCGAATTTATCTATTTAAAAATATCACTCAGGTAGTAGATTATTTGTTAAACTATGTAGCGGTAAACAGATCTCCAAAATAGGTAGTTCTGTAAGTCTTTGACATTCGATTCTGCCCTCATTATTTCTGCTGGACACACGGTTACACATGTGCACCAGATCATGAGTGGGCGAACTGTGCTACGTATCGCTTACAACTGTTAGCTGTCTTAAACAGAACGCCTTTCAATACGTCTATAGCCTTCCAAATATACCTTAGAACCACTTAATTTCTGGTTTCTGACTTGACTGGGTTGATATGCTTCGATTATAAAAATGTTACGTGCAAAGGTGTTGTCAAACTCTTAATACATGTGCCATCTTCAGCTGTGATGTAAGTTACTGGTTGTGCCTGAGAAAATGGCATGAACCTACGAACTATCGTTATTAATCTTGATATTGTTCATATTCTTATGTGCATTAATTTAGCCCCTGTTTCTATAATCAGTATGTCTTATAACATATGAGCCTAAAAGAGTAAAATGTTGCAGTAAATTCCGTAATATTCATAACTATTTGATCCCGTCAGTAAACTTGAATGCCACCAAAACATATTGCTATATGGAAATTAATTAAAACTAAATGAAAGATATAATTACCTCTCGAAGACTCTGCCATATGCCGTTTTAATAGAAAGGTTATTGACCAAACCTACTACATGATGAGACTATAATTTATGGATGACGTTTGAGCGACGCCAAAGTGATATTGAGAATGTTCACTTGCTGGGATTATGGGAAGATTATGAATAACGTGAGGAATTACTGGGCTCAAAAATGGTCATAGGTTAGGATTTAGAGTTAGAATTCGAGGTTAGGAATTGGAGTTAGGACCTTTATCACTAATCGACGTCAGCTGTAAAGCCGAAGTTCTATTTGACTACATGGACGAGTGAAATTCGCTCCATATTCAAAGACTCACTATCCCCAGTTTTATTGGTTTGTCCATAAATTTCTGTCTCGCTACTAGGCCAATAATCGAACAACAAAATTACAGACTCAAAGTGATGTAGTCGACTAATCAATGTGATTTTTTGTTGAAATCACATCATTTTAAATCTTAAATCATTCCCACTCTATGGCGGATAGATAAGGGACAAGTGTAAGTCTACCTGAAGGACAAAATATCGAATATAAAAACGAAGGATTTAGATTTGTAGAATTATAGTCTAGTATGATATTAGTACTGCTCTAATAATAGACCTAATCCTAGATTTGTAGATTTGTCATGGTATAACTGCCTAATCTATAAGATCTTACGTGGAAGTCACACCATGGACTACACCAACTCACCGTATCATATCAATTACCAATACATGATGTAGAACAAGGTTAGGCTAGAGGAAGAACAATATATTTAATATGAATAGAAGATATAAGGTAACATTCAGCAGAGACCACGCCTGCATGGCCGAGCCATGCCACTCGATCAACTCCAGTTCATTCAATTCATTGTTCGCGCCTTCTCCATTGTTAGGTATTTCTCCGCGTTAAATATTGAATATCTATTTTCTGAGTAGTCTCGTGTTCACAGCTTTGTGGATTGTGCGGTTATTGTCCAATGCCACTACAGATTAACCACACCGACATTGCCGAGTTATGTAGTTCCGATGACGCCTTCGTGCCTACCCCTATTGACCTTCGTTACTATTTCCTATCATCATTAAACGTCCTGTGATCTGCTGTCCAACGCAGAAACAGTTCAGCTTCTGGGTGACTAACGGTCAGTTTCCGCTGTTATTACACTGTTATGACATGCTCACTCCCCACACCTTTTCAAACTGCTTTTCCTGACTATCAATGTTACTGCTGTAAGCTGTTATTTGTTCGTGAACTGCAGGTTGGAAGCAGGATGTCATGGTCTTCTCCTTGAGGTGGGTCAGGCCAGGCAACTTCCCTGTGGTGCAACGTTGGCGTAAGATCTCCGCGATTAAACGCAGATGAATATGAGTAAGCTAATAAGTTTATTGAATAAGAAAAACAGAATTCAGCGAAGAAAATTTTCTTTTCGTCGAAAAGAAAATTTTCTTCGCTGAATTCTCTTTTTCTTATTCAATGACACTATGCGTTATTTTAATTACCTAATATGTTTATGTCAGAACAGGAAGTTATAATTTGATTTGCAAGGGCATTCAGTCATCTAAATGTTGATATTTTAGGGGAGAATTTTGATCATTCTTGTTTGGCATGTGTATCATGCGAAGATCACCTGAGCCTGATCGTTTCGTCACAATTTTCATGGAATTCTATTCACACTCACTATACAGGTGAGTAGCAGTCTAGAGTCAGTAGCTAAGTGGGTAACGCGTTTGACGTTTGAAGCGAAAAGTATTGGATTTGAAACCTGGGATGAACGTTGACTCCTAGGTCCCGTTATATCCAGCCGATGAGTTTCAAGTAGGAAGAAACAGCGGCTTTGGACTATACTATTACCCACAATCCATCACATCTGAAAGCATTGGAGCTAGAGGTTGGAGTTATTTGTTCTAAGAATCGTATTTCTTACCTTTATTTATTGAATGATGAATCATTCGTATATTCGAGAAACCTACTCGTAATTGACTTGTTTCCGTGATGTATAATAAACATTTTAGATTGATTCTTGAAACCTCTTCCTACTTTCCAGCCGTCAGTGAGTCGAAGATTAATCTTAACGCTAGTGAGCTCTTGTTTCTAGGAAAATATGTCTTGTTACGTACTCATTAATAGATCAGCCTTCTGAAAGTGCAAGCACAAGCAAACTCCAAATAGGTAAGCAAATTAGTAGGCCAACTGAAGGAACAAAAGTATACCGTGGAGAAAAATTCCAACTAGTGTTCCAGTTAGTTTGATACGGTTTATTTAGTTACGGGGAGATTTTCTCAACCTCATTTTTACTTGACCGTGATAGAATTTAGTAATACTACTAATACACATGAATGGTTATCAAAATAAAATTTAAATACGTGAGTGATAATTATATGAATTTTGGACAGATAGCTAGGAACAAATCGTTAAACATGAGTGTATTCGTAAGAGACATGCTCTGGACTCAATGTTCTGATCTGTGGCAGACTATTTATTTATATTTATACTTGCTGGCTGATTGGGCATACAAGTTAGTTGCAAGTATGCAGTTTATCATAAGGCGGAATACGATTTAATTGAGATATAGTGGTTATAAGTTATTAAAATCAGTTAGGCCTGTGTCATATTACGAAGTGATGTGGTGCTGCAAGATGTATTTAGCTAAATAAGTTTTTACAAGATGATTAATAGTGAGTGATGCTCATGTGATTATCAGGGAGAACATAAGTTGTAACCAGGGGAGTACACTCCCAACTCATGTCTATGATAATGGCTTGAACCTTAGTCAGTGTTGGGGTAAATTCGACATTGATGTTTTCAGTTTGCAGGAGATTTGCTCGACTGCTTATACTGATTATTTGCATGCATGATTGTGTCGCTAAACCATCAATTAGACTGACAAGGTTTTGAGATATTTACTGAATGAGCAACTGATAGAGAAACATACTGTAATCATCTGTAGTGAATGAAGATAAAAGAAAAACAACACTATTTAATGGTAATTATAAGTCAATTTGTTGACCGATTTTGTTAATAGTTTCATTAATTTTATCAGTCATATTACGTGATTGTCAAGTTATGACAATGCTTTATGACGATATCCTGAAACTATTAAATTTAACTAGTTATAGTGTTGATTGAGGATTAGTCAGTGGAAAAATAGGTATTGTTGCTTTAGGTGATTCGAAATTATCAGAAATTTGTAACGTTAAAGAATCCGAGACGCCTAATTTAATTATAAATTTCAATTCAGAAATATTCGTTTAGTGTTAATTCTAGTAGGCTACGGAGTTTTGATTTTAAACGTTTGTTTAGCAAACAGCTACCTGAGGATTTAGTTATTTTACTAGTGCAGTTGATAGTACCTAAATTTTTAATCTTATTATCTAAACTATGTTCGCATTTTAGGCTGCTAATATGATAAACCAATCCATAAACCCAAATACGATTAGCAACAACGACTATGATGGGTTTATTGATAAATGTTAAAGGCGATTCAGATGATTTCTAAATTTAGAAGACATGAAGATATAGTGTAACGTATGTACGGGCCAGGTTAACATGCAGGTTGTTGACGTATATGACAATTTAAAAATAATGAACATGACCAGATAAATAATTTCAAAGTTAAGACTGCTTGTGAAACTTCAGGCAGGAATATGACGCGTTATAAACATTCCATAAGAAGTTACTGCATTTAGCCTAGAGACACTTACAAATATATGGCAAAAGCAAACGGAAAGTATATACATGTTAAGTACAAAAAAATCATCCAGTAAAATAGTTGAACTCGCCTGGGTTATTTTTGAAAATTAGATTATTCAGTGGACGACACATATAACGCCATTCGTGAGTAGTAATGATCCAAAAGTATCCAGAATAAAACATGCAGTATGGCAATTAATCCCAGGGTGCTTGATGCTGTCGACGTTTTTGGGACTCGATCTGATCAGAACAACTGAATGAATCCAGATAATTGTGTTTGCCAATGAATGAGCCATCTAAAATAAACTTATGATTGCAGAAAACTTACAGCTGAAACTCACCGTATGTTTTTGGACTAGTGTCATCCTTGTTGTTTGGCAATGGAACTCGAGAATATGAAATTAGGCAGGCAGTGGTCGGAAGAAAAGATATTACAGGATAGTGCATAGTTTAAAACAGGATGAGGTGTTAAGTGAAGGAACACTGAGAACTAGATCGAGATAACTATTTAATCCTTGATTGCATTGTTAGTCAATGTATATTTACGCTATTTACAGGTCATATTTGCTAGAGCTTGATGTTTGAACAAGTCTGTGTCGCTGAAGCATGTAAATGCTATTAAAGCTTGTTAACGAACCATCAAAGCTAATTAGTTGATATAGGCGATCAACTTTTATTATTGATTGAGCTAGTAAGTTATGAGAACTAATTGATATAACATTACGATAATATATGTGACCATTATTCAAAGGACTATTAGAATAATGGGTTTACACAAATAAACACCGATTGATAAGGTTAAGGTGGAAATAAGGATTAACAATAATAGGTTGCGTTTCCTTAGTTGGGCTCACCAATGTAGAATTATAGTCTAGTATGATATTAGTACTGCTCTAATAATAGACCTAATCCTAAATTTGTAGATTTGTCATGATATAACTGCCTAATCTATAAGATCTTACGTGGAAGTCACACCATGGACTACACCAACTCACCGTATCATATCAATTACCAATACATGATGTAGAACAAGGTTAGGCTAGAGGAAGAACAATATATTTAATATGAATAGAAGATATAAGGTAACATTCAGCAGAGACCACGCCTGCATGGCCGAGCCATGCCACTCGATCAACTCCAGTTCATTCAATTCATTGTTCGCGCCTTCTCCATTGTTAGGTATTTCTCCGCGTTAAATATTGAATATCTATTTTCTGAGTAGTCTCGTGTTCACAGCTTTGTGGATTGTGCGGTTATTGTCCAATGCCACTACAGATTAACCACACCGACATTGCCGAGTTATGTAGTTCCGATGACGCCTTCGTGCCTACCCCTATTGACCTTCGTTACTATTTCCTATCATCATTAAACGTCCTGTGATCTGCTGTCCAACGCAGAAACAGTTCAGCTTCTGGGTGACTAACGGTCAGTTTCCGCTGTTATTACACTGTTATGACATGCTCACTCCCCACACCTTTTCAAACTGCTTTTCCTGACTATCAATGTTACTGCTGTAAGCTGTTATTTGTTCGTGAACTGCAGGTTGGAAGCAGGATGTCATGGTCTTCTCCTTGAGGTGGGTCAGGCCAGGCAACTTCCCTGTGGTGCAACGTTGGCGTAAGATCTCCGCGATTAAACGCAGATGAATATGAGTAAGCTAATAAGTTTATTGAATAAGAAAAACAGAATTCAGCGAAGAAAATTTTCTTTTCGTCGAAAAGAAAATTTTCTTCGCTGAATTCTCTTTTTCTTATTCAATGACACTATGCGTTATTTTAATTACCTAATATGTTTATGTCAGAACAGGAAGTTATAATTTGATTTGCAAGGGCATTCAGTCATCTAAATGTTGATATTTTAGGGGAGAATTTTGATCATTCTTGTTTGGCATGTGTATCATGCGAAGATCACCTGAGCCTGATCGTTTCGTCACAATTTTCATGGAATTCTATTCACACTCACTATACAGGTGAGTAGCAGTCTAGAGTCAGTAGCTAAGTGGGTAACGCGTTTGACGTTTGAAGCGAAAAGTATTGGATTTGAAACCTGGGATGAACGTTGACTCCTAGGTCCCGTTATATCCAGCCGATGAGTTTCAAGTAGGAAGAAACAGCGGCTTTGGACTATACTATTACCCACAATCCATCACATCTGAAAGCATTGGAGCTAGAGGTTGGAGTTATTTGTTCTAAGAATCGTATTTCTTACCTTTATTTATTGAATGATGAATCATTCGTATATTCGAGAAACCTACTCGTAATTGACTTGTTTCCGTGATGTATAATAAACATTTTAGATTGATTCTTGAAACCTCTTCCTACTTTCCAGCCGTCAGTGAGTCGAAGATTAATCTTAACGCTAGTGAGCTCTTGTTTCTAGGAAAATATGTCTTGTTACGTACTCATTAATAGATCAGCCTTCTGAAAGTGCAAGCACAAGCAAACTCCAAATAGGTAAGCAAATTATACACACACACTTGGTAGCCTACAAGGGCGGATAGGTTTTCTTGTAGTACGCCTTATTGTCCCATTTCTTATCATTTGTTTAGAGAGAATAACTCGTAGGATAAGGTTGTGCTAAGACGTTC